ACGGAACCATTGTCAAACACACGGAGCGGTGTGCGGGTATCTTGCATAATTCCTGCCCAAACCATGAGTCCTCCACCAGCATAATGGTCCCTTTCGATAATGTTGCTGGGATGGTATCGGGTTCCAGGTTCCCTCCATATCAATAACCGTCCAGAAATAGAGTCATAGAAATTTTTCGTCACCGAAGAATATAGCGTCATAGAAATGCGCGAAAATGCTTTCCATCTCTTAATTTTGTCCACCAGTGTAGATGTCAGCAATCAGCATTATCCAAATATATGTATTTGTGATATGTATTTCATTCTCTTAGCTCAGCTACTTATGCTCTTTGTGAATACACGTGGTTTGTGTTCTATGATAAAATATTTTTCAATACTGTGTACATTATGGAGTCAGAATTATATGGACATATGGAATACATATGAAGTTTAAAATTTCAAGCTAAAAATAAAAAATGAATACATATATATTGTACAGACATTTTTTTTTTAAATTTTCTTGAATAAAAAAATAGGCTTTTTTATGACAGTTTTCTTGAAAATAATAAAATCGTTGAGTGGTTAACATCGCATATTTAGAAACATTAATTCCTTATTATTATTATTTCCACTACAATTAACCTATACACCTGAATTATTTTTTTTTCTCTACTTTTGCCTTCAGTATTCGTAATTAGTGATATACTATGAACATTCACGGCATTCAAGAAAATTAAGCTGTATATAATGAGCAACCAATTTCTCGAGATGATACTCTTTTTTCTTTATTTCTCTTACTTAATGACTATTGTGTGCCCATTAACCAATTCAACCAATTGTAATACTTTAGTAAGCGATAGTAGCAAATAATTCACAATACCACTAAAAATATTGAACAAATATTTTCTAAAAACAAGAAAAAATTATAATTTAGAGTACTATTATTAAAAGAACTTTGTGAAAGAATTTAGAACGCGTCATTTGAGAGAATTGATACTTGACGGGTTTGGTTTACTCGAAATGGAGTAGAAAGAACAGTTAATAACGTAAACAAATGCCACGTTTCAACAAACAATCAGGATCGATATACCCACACTACGTCACTTGCACGTATCCCATTATGATTTCATTTCACATTGGAAAGCTAGTGAAACCAGTTAATCTAAATAAAAATGAAATTGATGAGTTGCAAAAGGGGATCCTCAATCAGTTGATTTATTACAACACCAGTAGCCAGAAAGCGTCGAAAAAACGTTTGTACTGATGCTCGTCACAAATACTATTTTTCAACGTTGCCTAATCGTTTAAAAACCATTATTTACGCTATGGAGAAGTTTCCTATACAAAATATCAGTGTTGTTGTTGTTGCTTTTAACTTTAAAAAAAATTTTACATTTTCGTATTTTAAAAAAATAGAAAGAAAAGACTATCGGGTGGTAGGCACTATGACAAGATTCGAGAGGTAGACGCGGTCTCTTTTCACTTGCTAACCACAATATGTGATGCTTCAACTTGGCATTCGTTGAATAGATCCTTTTACCTGATAGATCATTTTACATGATATAAAAATATTTTCTTCAATTTAAAATCTGTTTTGTTTTTTTTTTTTATTTATTTACATAATAGTATTGAATACCTTTTTTGAATACCTTTTATACCTTTTTTGATATTTTATGCGGATGTTTGAGTATAATTTTCTCTCATTTTTAAATAAAAAGTTCCATGAAATTTAGATTTTTAAATTTATCTGCTTTCGAAATATTAATAAATTTTAACAATAATTATAAATATATATATAATTTATATTCATAATGTGATATTCATAAGTTTTAAAAAAAAGTCAGTCATAAAAGATTTTGCAGCAATAAAATATGTAAGAAGAGCATTAAAATGTATAAATTTAATGAAAGGAGTAGCTCATTTTTTTATACATATTTTTTTAAAGTTTCATCTTCTTCAACTATTTATCTTTTAATTTTTTTATTATTTTTATAACTATTTAGTATTAATTGGTATTGGAATTAATATTCTTTTCTTAATTTTAAAAACACTTTTGACTTAAAGTCTCAAAGGAATTTGAAATACTCATTATTCCAGTTTAAATTGAAAAAGTCCCCTCCTCCACTCCCGTAATTTCAGAGTTATAAAATATTGTTTAAAGGCAGTATTAACACTAACAAAAAAAGAAATATTAAGTTTAAATTTTATAAATTTTAAAGTAATTTGTGAAAAGCCAAGTAAACAAGAACTTTTAGCATTTCTATAATTACAACATAAGATTTTTATTTAAAAAAAAACTAATCAAATTAAATAAATAAGTAAAATCTATATTCAATTTTTATATGCTTTATTATTTAAAAAAGTTAAATTAAGATTCATAAATTAGTTTTGAGGTTCATCAACAATTAATTTAAAATTTTATTCCATCAGGTCTTGTGGGTAGCTTAGGACCCATATAGCACTAACTCATCCAGTGGTCGCCATCGTATGCATCCACAAAGGTTCATGTGGTCACCCGGTGGACGTCTACAAGACATCCATGTTTGATCCCGGGAAGATCTGGTAGAAGTCCGAAAGTTGTCCATTAGATATCCACCATAACTTTTACATTGATGGCATATGGATGATTTGATCAATAGTTCATCCAGGCATGTGCGTCTCATAGACAACCACAAAAATTATTCCTGATCAGTTGGAAGACACATAACGGAATAATTTTGTAAACCGTGATGGCTCAGGGTATAGAGCGTTCGCCTTTCAGTGAGGTGAACCGGGCTCGAATCCCAGCGATAACTGGTTGATACGAATTCCGTATCCGGCTTGCACCGATCACAGTGACGTAAAATATCCTCAGTGGTAGACTTATCATGGGTTAGAAACCCCTTGCCGTCAGGCTAACAGTGGAACGTTTTCGCGGTTTTCCTCTCCATGCAAAGCAAATGCAGGTTAGGTATATCAAAAAGTCCCCTACAATGGCAAAATTTCTCTCAATACTTGATCCAGGAGTTCCCTTATCTTCTGGATTGGGTTCAAAATTACAAGGTTACGGAGTTGAACATTACTATCGTAAACACAAAAAATTTAGTCGGCTGTTCAACGACGGTCATAAAAAATAAAAACTATATGCAACGGACATGTTCGATACATGTTACAGAGGTCGTATATATACGAATTCTGTAATTAAATATTTCACATTTTTATGGATGTAACAATGTAGCCCTCAATAGATGTAACAGTGTAAAAACCAAATTAAAAGCTTTTAATTTGATTTAAACTTTTTTTTTAAACTTTTCAGGTATACTTGTGGCAATAATATATTTAAACGGAAAAAAATTAATGATTTCGAGTATTTTTTAAGTCATGACTGAATTCAAAGATTACACTAATAATTATAATTACAAATATTAAATAGGATTTTAATAAAATTATATATAAATTATGGATGATGTTTTCTACTCTAGGGAACGCTGCAAGCTCCATACCACCTTTACTTCCGGGTTACTGTTTCCGTTGTATTTTAAAGCCATTTGGCTCACAGCGTGATCATTGTGTTTTGAGATTCTTGCAAACGTGGTATATGATTACTTATTACTTGTGTTTACAATGCTAACAATACTTATGTTTGCAATGCTAAAGGTTCTAACACTAACGTAGGATGGTGCACGGCTTGCAACAAGAACAAACAGTAGTAAACAAATGGGAAAGAGCCCAGATCAGGAATGCCAAAAAGCGAGTTATTCAAAATCTAGCAACCACGTCACCTTTTTTAACAATATATCTATAAATAACTAAAACAAATTTTCACTTCAAACCCACTAGAATTACTTACTAATATTAATATCTTATGAAATACGGCAGATTTGACCTCAGAAATTATCTAATTTACTTTTTTTATTTAAAACAAAACTATCCGTTTGAAAATATCGCCTTGCAGAATAAGCTGTAGTAAACAGTTGCAAACTTACTTACCGGAACTAGAGCAGGTATTGAGCTCGAGATTGTTATTGTTTACATTTATATTGAAAACACCATCCATACAATTACAATTTTTATTTTCATTTTTTTTTCGATAGTTCCTCTAGAGCAGTGGTTTCCAACTGGCGGCTCGGGGGCCGCATCCGACCCGCGAACCCTTTTTTGGTGGCCCGCGAACTAAAATATATTAGTTATCATTTTTTTCGGACAATTTTCGTAAAAAATCTGTATGGGTTAAAAATACTTTTCTCGTTAATAAAAACCTAATTTCTTCGTTTCTGTGAAATTTATCATACCAACGGTGCAAAAAAAAAATTTCTCAGGATTTGCATCCAAGAAAATATTTATTCAAATACAAAAATTATCGTGTATGTTGCTCTTTTTTATTTCATTTTTTTGTATTTTGTGAATATAATTTAGCATGTGTGTATCAGAAATTTTCTCGAAGAAATTCTCCGATTTAACTTTTTGAAACCACTCATTTTGGACGAAAATATTTACACACACATTTGTAAATTTTAAATTTAAAATGTAAATATCTATTCTCTGGTGGTTGCAGCAGACAAACCTCAATTTTGTCATTGAACATTTTGTGTGCTACTATGTAAGTTTTAATACCAACCTTTTTAAAGTTTTATATCTTAACAATTAGATATCTGTTGCACATTAATTGTTTAATACATGGGTGCATATTAAAGTTATTGTAGCCCGAATTTTTTAATATGCAATTACACATTTTTAAAAATCTACTTCTTATTTTAATTTGTAATTCAATACTTTTGTTTTGTACAACTTGGTAAAAATCTGACAGTAATATTTAATGTTCCTTCAAACATAAAAGAGCCCTACATAAAATTTTGATAAAGTTGCGGCCCGCCATTTGATTTGTGTTTTTAATTGTGGCCCCCGGTCTCATGTTAGTTGGAAACCCCTGCCCTACAGCAATGCCAGCAACCAACCCAGATTGTCTTAGCGCCATCTATCAACTATTGGGCAGCCGAAAATAAAAATGCAACTTTATTAACGGTAACTGTGGTTTGTGTCAGCATTGCGTCATAATACGAAAGGTAAATAAACAAAACATCCAACTTCGGAGCTACGCATCATCGACCACCGGCCGGCAGCTCTGAAGAATTGTCACTGATATTTTATTGCCGTAAATTCTCAGAAAGCTGTCCATTTTTCATTCATTTTCCTTTGTTCATCCAAAATAAAATTAGTTCACTCTTGTATCTAGTTGATGTCGTGGAGTCCATAGTTTAAATAATTTTCCAAGTGCTTATTGTTCCTAGTTGCTTAATGATAAATAAATCTTTTAAAAATTTTAATCTGTAAAGTTATTATTAAGTAAGTTCTTTTATTGTGAGCTCTAAAGTTTTTTTAGTCATGAAGTGATTAATTGTATTAAACAGTATCGCTTTAATTATAAAAAACTCTCCTCAAATATTAAGAGCATAACACTTTTTCAATGTTAGAAATATCCATATTTCCTGGTCGTATACACTACAAATTTATAAATTCTTTTAAGAATAAGAACTAATATCTCCTACATAGTATTCATTTTTGTTATATTAAGAACTTTATATTTTAATACTCGCTTTAAAACATCTATAAAATTATATTGTAGAACTGTATTTGCTGTTTAGTTATTAACCTGCTTCAAATGAAAATCAAATAACAGTATTTCTGTTCAGTTTAAAAATAAGGTACATCAATATGTTCTAAATATGGTACCCTTTAACGTAAATAAAAGTGTAATTAAAATAATAATTAATGTCAGATGTTTTGTTAAAAGTATCTAAAATCAGAAGTATCGTACAATTAAAATAAGTTATTAATTAAATTAACGCTTAAAAATAGTGCTCTCTTAAAAATTTTTGACTAAATACACTTTTTACTATATGAAATTCATTCATTTGAGAATATAAACTATAATAATACATTCAAAAACTACATTCATTTCACGTTAATAAGTGCAATGCCTGTTGTTTGTCAGTCATAGCATTTATATCTGCATCATAACAAGTGGTTTCTTACAGCTAATTATGTAGAATTCATCGATGAAAATACTTGCTCACTAATGTGTGAGGACTCAAATATCGGGCAGACTTTTCTCGTAATTTGGAATCTGATTTGGTTTCTTTCTCTGAAAGTTATCTCACTCGTCTAGAAAAAGTTAGTCTCTCTTACAACATAAACTTTCCCAGTGAAGGGGTCACTAGTCCCCCTTTTCTCCTGGAAGTCACAATGGTGATCAAAATCATGGTTAATATTGAAGGATTTTTTTTTAAATGTTGTTTTTTGTAAATATAAATGAATAAAAGTAATTTAATATATACTGCTAATGTGCTACTAACATACTTGTCATTTGTTATCTAGTGGCATGTGTGCCATTTCTGTTACACGCTGTAGAACATTGATTATTGTATTTACTTATTTCATTTTAACATGATTTAGTTTTGCTTTATCTTTTTTTATTTCGTCCTAGGTGTTTTCAAAAATGGCTAACCAGTTTGCCAAAGTTAAGTATTCTCTTTATAACACGGAAAGTTTCCAAGCTGACAGTGATGATGAAGTTAGTGTTAACAGTGCCAGCAATTTGAACTCCAATTACATATGCAGAAAAATTCGGTTCTGTAAAGAAACTAATGTGGACCTTGAGAATTCTCCTCTCCTAAATAGTTTTGAAGATGATGATTTTGGAGCTCATCAATCTATGCAACATGTAAGATAACGTTTTATTTTTTAATTAAGAATGTGTTTGAACATTTAATTGTATCCAATGGAATTAAAAGTTCTGTTGAAAATTTTGTAACTGCTTACAATTTTTAGTTTTTTGTTAAGAATTAAGAAATGATAATAAAGTAAAAAATTTTATTATTGTATTAGAATAATTAATTTAACAAAAATATACTTTGTATTTTTATTTATTCTGTAAAAATTTGCTCTTATATAAACCTACTATTGATGTTATTTGATATTCAAACAGATATTATGAGCAATATTAATTTGATATTCAAGAATTAACTCTTAATTAACAACTGTTTATGCGTAGTGTGTGAATTTGAAATTTCATCTATGTTATCTCATTACTTTTTTCTTCTGATTAGCTGTGTGTAAAATATGTTAAGGTAATACAAAATTTGTTTATTAAAAATACATTTAAAACAATAATTTGTGAATGTTTTTTATTGAAATGTTACTTGCTTACAGGTGTTGCTGTTCTACCAGCAGCATTCTAATGTTACTGTTGTACTTTACAAAATCTTGCTACACCATTTACCTACTAGTATTAAGAGAGGTTTTAATCACTTTGCTCCTCACATGAGTATTATTAGTATGATTTTTGGAAATCAAATAATTATACTTTTCAATAAGCGATATACTGTTGTGAAAGTCAGCCTTCACACTCATAATGTGTTCAAAATGCAACTGTTCAAAAATTTATTGAAAAATGTATAAATCTAAAAAATTGAAATCTGAAATATATTTAGATTCTGGCTATTTCTTTTTAAAAAAATGTCTAACTTTGAAATAATCGAGAAATTTAAAATATTCTTAGCGTACAAGTCTATGAATTTTTTAAATGCTGTCACTGATTGTAAAATTTAGTTAAGGTTTGGCCCCTTAATGTTAATTTTGCTTTTTGTGCATTTCAGTTTATCTCAAGAACTTTTTAAGTGAATTGAAACATTTTTACACACAATTATTAAATTCGTTTATCCAAAGATAATTCCAGGCAAAACATAACTTTTAATAAATATTTATTATTTTTTATTATTTTATTTAATAATGGTCAAAAAAATTTGAACTGGAAGGTATAAAATTTGTAGCATAATTTAAAAGAACATCATTTTTCTTGGCAAAATACAAAATTTGAGCAAAATTGAATTCAACCAATTCTGCTCAAGTTTTGTATTTTATCACGTAATATGATATTTTTTTAATGATGCTAAAAAATTTATATGTTACATCTCAAAATTTTTTCAGCGTTCATTAAATGAAACAATAAAAAATAATAAATATTTTCTGAAAGTTATTTTTTTTTTTGCATAGAATTGTCTTTGGCTAAATGAATTTTATAATTGTGTTCCAAAAATTTTCAATTCGCTAATAATTTCTTGGGGTCTAGCAAAATACGCAAAAAGTAAAATTGAGATTAAGGGATCCAAGCTTTGGAGAGCTCTCCTGACTGAACTATCGGGACCATATTTCCCCAATTCTAAAAATATGCTGATAATTCTAAGTGTATCCTTACATTTAAACACTTAAAAAAGTATTCATAACATTAGTTATTAAAATGATTGTTCATAAAAATTTTTGAATAGAATATATTCCACATTGCTTAGCCTCATTTTCCTAATCATTAAAAATATTTACATGAATATTTCTAATTCTATTATAAATTATTGAAATTTGCACTGCAAACTCAATGTATTCTGTTAGTCACTAAATTGCTTATTATGCCGTAAATGCCACTATGGCTCTAAGGTTTTGTTCCCAGTTGTGACTTGAAGCCTACTCGTCTTTAAGTCATAACTAGGCACTCTGGGAAGTAAAGTGATTAGTGAGTGATGCTGACCACATTGGACCATCATACTAATATTATTGAAAGAATAAAATTTTAATTTCCACGAGCTCCCTGACAAACAATGGCTAGTCCTAAAGTGCTTTACTTAACTGTAAATAAGTTTTTAATGCATTGAGTAGTTCAGGCCAGTTGAGCATTTTACTTACAGTTGAATTCTATGAAAATCAACTGATTCAACATTCTAGCAAGTTATTGAAACCAAATCAACTAATTGGTGTACTTTTTTTATTTTTAAATATTAAAACAATAATACTTTTCTTAAGTTTAGTAGTACTAATTTATGTGCTTTTTTGATGGGGAGATGGTTATAGTTTACATTTTAACATTTAATTGTTAAACTGTTAATTACAAGAACCTTCAACCAACATCCATTTTAAGTGGAATTATATAACAAGAAAAAAAACTTTTAAAAAGAATTATTTTGTCATTGCAATTTGATAAATTTTAATCTATCACTTTTGTATATTTTCAAGATAATGAATCTCTCAAAATATTTTCATTTGGTAATTGGTTTTATAATGTATATGAATATATACCATTTATATTTCTTTCTTTTCTTACTAAATAGATTTTAAGAGAAAATAATGTGCAACACATGGAAACATATTTAAATGGCCTTAGCTATGAGGCGTGTAAAGTAGTTATAAACACGTTAGATGAAAATAAGCGTGCTCCCTTGCATTACTGTGCTCGATACAACCTTGTTGATGTGACTGAGTTGCTTTTAAGGAAAGGTGCTGGTAAGTGTCTAAAAATTCATTTAGAATTAATAATGTAAACTTTTAATAATTCTGATAAATCATGAGTAGCCTCTATATATTTTTTTTGACTTTGTAGATGCTAATGTAGTTGGAGAAGATGGTTTGACACCTTTACATTTTGCATCTCGTTATGGTTGCAGCAAGGTTCTAAAGCAAATGGTAAATAAAATATTTATTTAGTATTGAAATGTTTATCCTTATACAATTTACTTTTTGTTTTTATGTAATTTATGTTTGCTAATTTAATGTACCCTTTGTACATTTCTTTAAATAATATTTATATGATATTTAATTAATGTATTGTGTGACCTGAATCTGCAAGAAATCATTCTAATGGTATACTTCATTGTAAATCTCAGAACTATTTCTAGGAATTACTTTTTTCTGTACTGTATTGGAAAATGAAACAAAAGACCAAATTGTTCCCTTCCTTTATGCATTTTAGTATCTATTAATATTTTATCTATTTATCTACTAATTTATACAAATGTTTTATACAAACAGTTATGCCTCCTAACTTAAAAAGCCAACGTGATGAGTAAAAATTTATGTCTGATGTCTTGGATATAAAAGTGTCTTGGATATAAAAATGCTATGAAATGAAACTTGATATATATATATAAATACTACAAAATGAAATTTGATATAAAATACCAAGAACAATTTTTTCTTAGTATATGTCAGGGGTATAGTATATGCCCGGTGGCTGAGCGGTAGCGCTTCGCGCTGTCGTGCCACAGGTCCCTGGTTCGATCCTCGGGCCGGGCAAGGTTCACTCAGCCTTTCATCCCTTCAGTGGGTCGATAAATGAGTACCAAGCATGCTTGGGAACTAAACACTGGGGGTTCCGTGTTCGACTGACCACCTGACCGGAACATCTGCTCCTGCACCCCAGAGCCCAAGGTCAAGAAAACTGAGATGGGCACAGTAGGCCTTGGCCCTCTATGGGCTGTCGCGCCACTGAGTTTAGTTTTTTTATATGTCAGGGGTCCCCAACCTTTTTATACCTTAGAGCAAATACCAGAATATCGGTCGAATGGCGGGCACCATTTATTTTTTAGAGATAAATTTATAGTTGATAGACATAAGTAATAATACACACTACATATAACGCCCAAAACATTTAATTGAAAGAATAAATTTAACATATGAATATAATTAGTATTAATATTCTTATGTAAAATAAATTATTACTAAATTGCTTTCAAAACATACAAAGTATAAAAATTATTTATAATATACAGTAAATGTGATCTTTGGCATGGCATTTCGCTGGCCAGCAGATGATGAAATACCTGCTGGCAAGCAATCGTCAAGGTGTTCATCTGTAAATCGGGATCTATATATTGATTTTATGATATTCATTGTTAAAAACAATGATTCACACAAGTATGTGGAACCATTAACGACTTTATTTTATGTGCTGCTCTTTTTAAGAATGGAATTTATTCCTTCAGAATTTATTCCAGAATTTCTCATCTGATATAATAGTTTTGAGGATAATGTCATTCTGAAGATTCACAATTTCTATCTCCACTTCTTCCCGCCTTACTTGATGAAATTCTGAAATGTATGTTGCTGTTACAGTTATGTTTATTTGATTGGTGAAAGGATTAACAAAAAAGGTTATCAAAGACTCGATGATATTAAATTGTTGAAAGTGCTTTTCAAATTGATCTTTAAATAATTGGAGGTTGATCGCAAATGTTCATGATGATCCCAATTTCACTGTCACCTATCTTTTTTTTTTCCTATTTGGAAAATGCGCAAGAGACTTCATTTTCAAATGTGATATCCACAAAGCTAGCTTAGCTCTGACCGAGTTTATAACCTCTATCATGTTTGCTATATGTTTGTCCTTTCCCTGCAGCTCCAAGTTTAAATTATTTACTTTTTCCACCATGTGCGTTATGAAAGACAAATCTGCTAACCAAAGAGGATCTCTTAGTTCCAAAAATGTTTGATATTTGGCTGCAAGATAATTTTAAGATTTCTTCAATTAAATGTAGAAATCTATCGAGTACTTTGCCTTTACTGAGCCAGCGTACTTCAGTATGTATTTGTATAGCATAAAATTTGCATAGCATTTAATGGGAAAATGGAAAACTGAAATATTTTATTGTTGGGCCCAAGCAGCGGGCACACCTAAACCGATCGACGGGCGCCATGGTGCTTGCGGGCATAGGGTTGGGGACACCTGGTATATGTCATCGTCATGAAAAAGAAATTTCTTTTTTGTTATGATTTAAGATATTACTATAAAGTCTTAAACTATAAGATAAAAATTTGCATTGTAGTTTTGTAAATAATTAAAGACATCGCAAAAAAATTAGCTAAGTTTATAGTGGTTTTTATTATTTTGAAATGACATATTTACTTCCTATTTCTGTATTCTTATTGCAAAGATTTTTTTTAAGTAAATACAATGCAGATGAAAAAAATTAAACATCATTTATAATTATCTTCGTTTCTCTTTTAATAAAAGAGTATGTTCTGCACTTGGAAATCGGTTTACTCACCCTTAAATTTTTATGAAGTTTATTAATTTGAAAACTTTGCAATTGTTTTTTCTAGAAATTAAGCATTGTTTATCGCTATTATTTTTTCTTTGTCTCATCAATTTCAAATTGCCTCTTTAAATATTTACTTTTAGGCTGATGTTTGGTTAGAGGGTATAACTGAGTCATGTCAAAAAATTGTATCATTGTTGATTGAAAAAGGTGCTCAAGTAAATTTTCAAGATATCTATGGTATGACACCTTTACACTATGCTGCTATTCGAGGAAATACTGTTGCCACCAAGGAATTATTGAAATCTCTTAAAATAAATACTGAGGTAAGTGTTATTTTATTTAAAATTCTGTAAGTATGAGTAGTACTATAAACAGCCTAATGAATGTTCATTAGGCTGTTTATAATACTACTCATACTAATTTAAAATATGCTAATGCATTTTGTTGGTACTATATATCAGCCTAGGATGGGCCGTCACAAAGAACCTTTTCCTGACCAGCCTTCTTCTAGCTTGTGTTTTTCATTTCTTGGCCCCTAGGACTTGTAGGTCTTTTTCAACGCTTTTAATTCATTTAAGAGTTTGCCTTCCTTTTCTCTGCTTGCCGACTTTTTAGGCACTGAACACTTTTTTGTGTGGTGAAAACCTGGAGGATCAGTCCCCTGATATAATCCTTGGGGCCTGGCTTTGTCCCCGCACATTGGGGACTCTTTTTGTGAAATATCAGTCCTCTTGTATGGTTTATTTTCTACTTAAGGCATGTGATCTATGCAGCTATCTTAACATATATTAGAGAAAATGGCAGTTCCCTAACAAAATATTTTTAATGCATTTTTTACTTGTCAAGTATTATTTGTGTACTTTTGTGTACATATTAACTTTAAAAAAAGAGTTGCATTATTGCCTATTTTTCTGTTAGTTACCAAATTCTTATTAATGTAAAGTGTTGCTTTGTTAAATTAGTCAAGTATTTTTTTTTACCTGTTGATATTTAGGGTATTTATGTGCACCCACAATATAACGTCTATTTTCGCCTGGACCACAAGGGTCATTATATCAAGCCTCGAGGGTGTATGCATTTTATATTAAAAACTTAGTATGATTGCTATAGTAAGGTTTGTAAATAGGCCAAAAAGTTCCTTTAATTTCTATTTTCTGAAAAGTATTCGATGAAAACACATTTATTGTTTTTTACAGATTTAAAACACCAAAATCAATTTTATTTCACTTAATCTCCAGATTTGTCCTTTAAAATTACTTCAACTTATCTACAATAGTCACCCAAATATCTCTCTTATTGAGTCTCAATCTTGGTCTTATCAAATTCCTTTAACAAACATTTTAAATATGTACTGAGAAAGTTACCCTGTCATAAATACATTCTTAATACCCCTTATTTATATTTAGATTGCTGATAAGCAGGAAATGACAGCCCTTCACTGTGCTGCGAATTACAATTCTCCTGATGTTGCTAAATTATTGTTGAATTCTGATGCTCATCCTGAGGCAACAGATGAAAATCTTTCTACTCCTCTACATCTAGCTGCAACTACTGGAAGTAAAGAAATTGTAACATTACTATTGAATACTGTAGAAAGAAATTGTGGCAAAGAACACCTGAAGAAAGTAATTTTATATGATTTATTAATTGTATTTTACTTGTATTTTAATATTTAATTTGTTAGCATTTTTGAAAATGAATTGAAATTCTTTTATAACTTTTCTAATAGTTTTTTCTTTTTAAATGTAAGTTTTATAACCAATAGATGTTACACTATACATCTAAGTTATTTGGTTTCAATACCAGTTCTGTCTATCTCAGAAAATTTATTTACCCCTTAAAGATCACATAATTTTAAAGTAAACGGCATTAAAAGTGTCTGTCTTTTTATTTATTTTTTTCTCCCAAATTCGAGAAAATTATTTGTCATATATTATATTTAATATATATTGAGTTTGAGTATAATATGTATTCATTTTTAATTTTTGGGTTAATCGCAAAGATGCATGTTTGATGAGTGCTGACAATAAACTCTATTTCTAGACGCATTACAAATAGTCTGGTTCTGCCATTTGGTGATCGAAAAATAAGCAGGATTCTTAGCATAAGAAATAGATTGTTTCAATATTTTCTGCATGTTACTTTTGAATAGTCCAGTTATGAATAGGGGGACCCTGTTAACTAGAGATTTGGACTCTATAAAATGTTTTTAAAACCAAATGTCTCACATTAAAAAATTTTGCTGTGATTTTTTTTATCCTTTTTTTTAGTTCACGGAATTAAATTGTATAATTCACAATTTCAAAATTATTTTATTTGGTGTGCATTTAAGAAATAATATTTATTTAAGAAGATTTTTAAAGAAAAAAATCTTATTGTATTCTTTCTTTCTTACTGTTATTGTTTCAGGATTAGTTTTTCTTCAAAATTTCATTCTGAAAAACTGTGTAGCAAAAGCCACTAACAAACTACCAAAAACTCGATATGAAATGTGAAGAAATATGCGTCTAAATCTCTTTTTTTTCTGGTTTTTACTTTTAGATAATGAATAAATGAGTATGAAAATTAATGGATAAAACTTTCTATCCAAATGAATAATTATTAACTTTGTGATGTGTGTAAGTAACACAAAACAATGTGAAAAAGCACAAAATAAATAACAACAAAAGGTGATCCTTCTGGTACTATAAACACATTTTTTATTGTCAAGTTTGAGATGGTACTTGTTGCATGTGATATTATTTGCAATTTTACTTTGATTCAAATTTTATATCTTTAGAGAAATTAAAGGAAATATTTAAAGTTAGATTTGTATTGCAATAATAATAACTTAAAACCAGTAATACATATAATTTAAAAGAGAAAGAAATAACATTGAAATATGTCTAATAATGATTTGATGATCTAACTAACTGTATGTTTACGAATAAGCTATATTAATTTCCAGTCTTAGAAAAAATTTAGTGCTAATTTGCTATAGGTAAAATCATTTCTTTGAATTTAAGTACTTATACCATACCATTACATATTCTAATTTAAATTTTGCAGAGGCAAAATTTATTTTTGTTTATTTAAACATTTTTGAATCATTCATTAGCATGACTTTGTATACAAACTTCCATGTCTTGTCTTTTTTTCAACTGTGCTTGATTTTAAACTTATTTTTATTTTGCCTATTTGCCACTATGCATGACTTTAATTTCATTTTTATTGTGCATGCTTTCTATAACTCAGGAAACTTTTTTTCTAGTATGTAGATGATAAAAATCTTAGCAAAAATACTGCTCTTCATCTTGCAGTTTCGAAAGGACACCAAGAAGTTGTAGAAATGCTTTTAGAAAAAGGTAATTGATGTTTAGAAATGCCCTGAGAAAAAGAGAGTGGCTGTAAGGGACAAAATTTCAAAAACACAGGCAAAAGCAAACAATGTATTTCAATGCATTGTTTGCTATAAATGATTTAAATTATCCTTAAACCCAAATTCATTGCCATAAAGTTGTCAAAAAGTGAACTAGTGAAAAGATGTCAAAAAATTGTGAGTGACAGGGGGGATCAGGTAATATTTGAATTCAGAAGGTCATTTTACATGAAAATCAGCAAAGATGATGTCAGGTCTCAAAACAATTATAACAAAATTATACAGTGATATTATACATATAATATTTCAGTACAATGTTATGCAGTGTGCATACAGTCAACATTCGTTTTAGCGACCCTTATGATTCTTGAGAAAAGGGACATATGTAACTTGAGGTAGATAGATCGCAAGTGCACAAAAATATCATAAATTCAGTTGGACCTGTTTATCTCGAATCTCACGGAAAGGCGAAAAAATTGACATGAAGAGGTTTCAAGTTATACAGGTACTTTAAAAAAATTAAATTTAATTAAGAAATTCAATTAAAAATGCTTTAATTGTTTTTAGTAGAAAAATGTAGGTATTTCTGTAAATTAATTATACCACATACATATATTTACATTTACACTGAAAATAATTTTTCAAAGATTTTTGACGTCTAACCTTCTTTGTTTCGATTGTTCTTTTAAGGTTAGAAAAAGAAGCAAATGCTTCATAGCCAACATTTTCTTGGGATTCAAGAATAGTTTGTAAGAGTTTTGCGCTCACTTTTGGTTCATGAATATGATCTTCAGCCTCTTCATCTGATATTCCTTTGACATTATCTATAATATTCGCATCTGACAGTGTTTTGCATGTTGCCAGGCAGTTGTCCACTTGTAAAAATCTTCAAAATTAATGTCAACCTTTTATTGCATTCCATCCTTGTAAATCTGGCACTGCATTTTCAGCATCAGCAGTTTCTTCCTCTTTACTGATGCCCTCATCCTCTTGTTATTATCTTCACAGCTATTCTTAAAACCAGCCTTTTTTAAGCCATTTTGGATAGTTTTTAGAGACACATTTCTCCAAGCATAACAGTCATTCTGATAGCATCCAAGAGAGCTTTTTTCATCGATGGCATCTACAAGTTTGCGTACCAACTGTTTTCTATAGTTTACTTTAAAAGTCCTAATTATCCTTTGATCCATTGGTTGCAATTTTGAGGTGAAAATTAATTTCTTTTCCTAGCTTTCTTATCTATGTACAAAAGCTAACCCCTGGTGGTCACTCCGTCTTACTCATCAATGCCTCTCTTACTGCCAGAATCATTGTATTCCTTTCTAATTACGGAAGTGCAGGGATACTAATCGAAATTCCAAGAAACAACCCTACCTGTTCATCCCTACTTCCTGTGGGTTTTAGAAATTCATCTCTGTCTGCAAGTTTTACTTATAAAGAAAGTTAGGGCATTTGTACTCTATTGTTAGAAATTCGAGAAACGGAGGTTTTGAAAAAAAAATTCGCCATAAACTTGGAAAATACATTGATTTTAAACAGTAAATGTGCGGAATTGTAGAAATTTTAAGATAGAGAGGTTTTCGAGATAAACAGGTTCAACTGTATTAACATATAGCTAAAAAGAACACTTTTAACAGAAAAACATTTAACTAACCGGAAAATTAGTTCAGTGGAGGCATTCTGATAGACATTAATGTAACATTGCTTCTATGGAATAACAAATGGGACTTCATCTATTGATTTTTATAATACAGTGCCCCACTAAAGAGCGTAGACTGAGTATATTTTAATTTTTTAATTAGATTTTAATTTTATGCGAAAATTTAAACTTAATCAGGTATTATGTGTTTTGTTTTTTACCTAAATGGTTAATGATAGTTTATTCCAAGCATAATTTTTTTGTCCGAAATTAAACTATTAAACGTGTCTTAATACATGCATTAACACATTTTTGTCAAAAAATACTGTAACAAAATCTATAATCTTTCAATTATTTTTATCCCAAAATATAATTATGTGCCTCTAAATGCTTATTCAATTATATTATTTGCCTCTTAAATTTCTTTCAAAACTATTAAAAAAGGTTTGATTACAAATTATTTTGAATTGTTTGAAATGAATAAGTTTTAACATCTATTTATTGCATTTTATGTTGAGTCCATTTTCATATTTTCATTTTTTTTTCTGGCCGCCTTTATTTTCTTCTGCTTGCTTTTGTTATGTACTTGAAAATGAGAATGCATGCATTTCTTTCAAATCATCAAATATTCAAGTATTACTATTGTGTTTAAATGTCATTGATTTTCAGATCATATTTATTATTCTTGTTAATTTGGTAAAAAGGTTAACTCATTATCTCACAGTAGTAAGATGCAATGATATTGTTAATTTCCAATTTCACTTGAAAATTTTGTACCTAAAAATCAAGATTATTAGTATTATTTTGAGAAATAGTTTTAAAAGTTATGATACAGTTTTTAAAAAAATCTTTACCAATTTTTGAGCTATTTTCTAAAATAATTTAAAACCCATTGTATAACCACTTCTTATACTGGAAAATGTATTTGTTTTTGTTTTTTTTATTGATTTTAGAGTATTTTGCTTGAAAATTATAAGCTACACTATATGGCTGTGTGAAAAGTAAGATATAAGCAGCCTTTTTATTGTTTGATGCCATATGTGATTATATATATATATTTCAGCAATCAATTAGTTTATAATTCCGAATAGGGGTCATCTCTTAACTCTCCAGTCACATAATCGCAATCCCTCAAGGGACTGTTAATTGGAGGTTTTACAGTATATGTATATTTTTGTATTGTTATTTATTTTATATATTTTTTTTTATTTTTTATTTCCAATGAGCTGCACAATCGGTCTTGCCGATGAGCAGACCTAGTGCGTTCTCCAGAGCTGGTATCCACTCTTTCAGGACCACCACAATGGGTGAGATACTGTTGGTCATGTTAATTTGGACATCTAGTTTCTGCCACACTAGATGGCAGCACCAAGACTCTATTTGGATGCTAAAGTGCACTAGGAATTTAATTTTGCCGGAAATGCCAAGAGCCAATAAGGCACTCCAGGGATCTTTTACATGCCGCATAATCATACGACATGGTCGCTGAGGGTTTTCTGCATCTCGAAAATCCGGTGTCTGGGCCGGGGATCGAACCCGCAGACTTGGGCTCAGAAGGCCGACGACAAACCAATATTATTTATTATTGCTTTATCTTATATTTCCTTTATTTTATATATTGCTTTACCAAAATTTATCATTTTTAGTAAATGATTATAATTTGCATATTTTGGTAATGAAACTATATGTTCTACTTAAATCTACAGTATCTACACATGTACAGTGGATATCAAAATTTTTTGTTAAATAATCTAAAATTATCTTATTTTCCAAAACTTAGTTTCATTTAAAAATTTATAGGTGCTGATGTAAAAATTCACTTGGCAAACTTGACCCAACCTCTACATTTAGCTGCTATTTCTGGAAATTTAGAAATAGTAAAGCTTTTAATCAAGCATGGTGCTGAACTAAATTGTGTAAACAACTTTGGGGAAACTCCATTGCATAGAGCAGCTGCTTACAACTCTACTGAGATCATAGATTTCTTATTAAGAAAGTAATTGAGCATTTATTAAAAACTTGTAGGTGATGGCATTGTAAATTAGCTATAACGTAATTATAAATAGCCAAATTCAGAACCAAAAAAAATTATTGTAACTGTATAAATTTGCATGCAGCACTACAAATTTATGGGAAATTTCTTCGTTAGATTTTTAATTGATATTAAAATTTAGAATTACTTATCTAATGTTTTAAAAAAAAAATTTTTTTTCATTATCACTAAACTTCAATTTTATATATGTTTTATTTTCAATTCCATAATTTATTTTCAAAAATTAAATTCTTATACTGATGAAAGAACTGTATTAAAATATTAAACAGTTCATAATATTAAACAGGTTGTTAAAAATATCAAAGAGTTCATAATATTCTATGAATAATGTCTTTGCATTTCTTTGGTTTGCCACGATTTGCCATTTATGCTTTAAAAAGTAAATAATTTGGAGCTGTACCTTTGAAAATTCCTTTACTTTATGAGAGATTAGCCAACAATGTTATTCAAGTCATTTAGGTGTACCAAAGTTATTTTAGAAATAGTTTGAAATGTAAAAAATATTTTTTTTTTTTTTTAAGTTACCTTTTTTCTGCAATTTGAAGTTTTTAAAGTTTCCTATATTTCTTAACATAATGAGTCAATTTATTTTCTTTCATTTTAAGAAAAATACATTTTCATAAAGCATATTTAGGTGTCTAAATTTATCCGGAAATTATAGTGCTATGATTTCACGGAAACAAATTTTTAACTTTCAGAAATTATTAAAATTACACTACTCCATGACAAATTAAAAAATACAAGCCCTGATACTATTCCTATAATATAAATTGACTTCATGATTCTGTATATTTTTCTCCATTTTTTGGATACACCCTTCTTCTTTGTTTATTTCTTTTGGATAATTTTAAAACCTTAAATTTTATTTGGATGGGAGGAAAATATTATTTTACTGATAAACTCCTTCTTATGGGTTAATAAGATTAAAATATTTACAATGCAAATATTTATAAATGCAAATGAATCTTTGAAGTGCAAATATTTATAGCAAGAGGGGATCTATGCTAACTTAAATGAAAATGATTGTTGAGGAGTTGAAAATTTGAAGGAAGTCCTTTTTTTAAATAAAGAATAAAGTCATATATAAGGCTTTTATTATAAAGAAAAGGGACTGAAAGCTATTATATGTAGAAAAAGGGCAAAATTAAGAAAAAAAATAATTTTTAATTTATTTATTTACTTATTTTGCATTTTAAAAAGGTAAGTCAACTTCCTTGCTACAAATGTTCATGCTTTAAAGCTTTTCTCCCTCTCTAGTCTTTCAAAACTGATTAAATAAAAACAATTCTTTTTCCCGATCCAAATAAAATTCAGACCCTTCAAAATACTAACAAGTGATAGATATAGGGGGTAGGCAGATCTAAAAAAGGGTAGGTAAACGGAAGACTTAGTTAAAATGAAAATCTGTGTACGCATACAATCTTAATTTAAAGAAATACTTTCTGCAAAAACTTTATTGTCTCTTTTAACTAGTTTTTACCCTTTTATCACCACCTAATTTTGACGAAATTTGTCCAAAAATCATTGCATTTTTTTAATGCTTAAAAGCTCTATATTGATTAAGCTATATATTGATATATATCAGCATTTATTTCTTTAAATTGATCAGTTTTTCAAAAATATAAAACTAGTTGTTGACTTATCTTGTTTAACCTTATACTATCTTTCTTTGTATATCTAAATTCTAAGTCCCTCAAATATATTTCAATGCTAACATTTGATATTTTTATGCAAATCACTTTTCAATTCTTCTACACTTAAATAATAATGCGTCAGTGCCAGCTGGTAGTTTGTAGGCTAAATGGCTAGTTAAAGTTGAGCTAAGTTTTTCCACATAAGTTAAAATGTTATTTAACGTGAAGTTAATTAAATACAGCTCCGTATCGTACATAGAATTTGTTGAAATATAATTCTTTCTCATTTACGTCTTTTATTTAACTTTGATTTATTATTTGTTTATGTGTGACTTTGAGCCAGTCATTCTCTTTTTTATATATATGGCTTCGTGCCTGTTTTTGTGTTAAGTAGAAATAGTGAAAGTATTGAAATCTTTTTGAATGAATATAGAATGTGGCACTTCAGATAATTGATACTTGACTGGCTTGGCTTACTTGAAATAGAATGGAAAGAACAGTTGCTAACGTAAACAAATGCCACGTTTCAAAAACCAGATTGAGATACTTAACCCACACTGCATCACTTGAGGGTATCCCACTGTGACCGCTTTTCTTTCTTTATTTTTCATTAAGATACTAATTTTTATTCTTTCTCTCACAGTGGTGCAGATATTGAAAAAAGAGATAATTCACTTTTTACACCACTTTTAAGTGCTGTTGAAGAAGGCCATGTAGAAACAATTAAAATGCTTTTGAAAGCTAATGCTCGTGTTGATGTGGTGGACAATATGGACAGATCTGTGATATTTTGGGCTTCCCAAGAAAATCACCCAAAAGCATTAAAGGTATTTCTTGATTTGAAGATATTTCTTGATTTAATTGGTACTTTTAAGTTCTGAAAAATGGTGATGAAAATTACAGTTTGTTTCATTGTTTTATGTAAATTTTATTGTTAAAAATTTTTAATAACATAAAAATATTTTTACTTCTTCTACTATTAGCTAAATCAGTTAATTGTGTGCAGCAAAATAATTTATTGTAACTTACAGTTAATTTATGTTTGTAATGGCTCTGGCTGAATTTTGTAATTAAGTTTATTTTGTTTTTTAAAGAAATCCTGAAAAACAAATTGAAACTTAATTTAAGACGCACCTGTAAACATATAACTTTCAAAATAATTGTGCAGTATTTTTTTTATTTATGTGACTTATGTATTTTAAATATTTTGTATCTTTTTATAAAACAGCAACAGATTTTTAATTAATAATATGTATACAACCAGAAAATCAGTTTTTATTTAATTTTTTACTGATGAAATAAAATTTATCTTTGCTTTTTTTTTGTTATAAGAAATTTTTGAAATTAAATAAAATAAGAAATGTGGTAATGACACTAGATTGTGTAAATATTAAAACACCAGAACTATTTTAGATTTGCAGTTTTAAAAAATGTGTCAAAATTGATTTGTGATGTACAAATTTCGATTATAAAGTGTCAAATACATTTGTAAAATCATTGGCAGTTATTTTTATATAAATTTCAAGTTGAAACATTTAGAAAAAGTAACTTTTCTCTGGAGTTTTTTTATCACTTACTAATTTTTATATTTTTTATTTATTTATATTTTTTAATTTTTTCAGTTACTTTTGAAAGACCCAAAAGCTAGTAGTTTTATTGACCGGTGTGATCATTATGACAACAGCCCACTCCATATTGCAACTCTTAAGGGTTTTCCTGCTATAACACAGGTAATACATGCTTCTAATTGTATTGTTTTTAAGTATAAAAGAAGTGTGTGTGGTGTATATATATATATATATTGCTCGCTTATAATGAACAATCCAAAAAATTCAGATATTTAAAACCCAATTTCTCAGGAATTATTCTACCGATTTTGCCCAAACTTTTTATTTTGCTATATAGAATTGCATTCTTTAAAATGATGCAAAAAATTGCATACCTTACAATTCAATTTTTTTTTACTATTCTTTAATAAAATAATAAAAAACATTAAATATTTGTTAAATAAATATATACCGTCATGTGGGGCTACTTTGTGCAAGATTTCACAGTTTTTGAACTTTGACATGTAAAAAAACTATGTTAATTCAAACTTTAGTAAAATTAATCGATATTATATTCCTAACTGGACTCAGACGAGTGAATTTGATCAATATTGGCATTATTTGTATGTAATATTTACAAATAATAAGTCAAAACATACCTTGCACAAAGTAACCCCCAAGTGGGGCTACTTTGTGCAGCGATAGGAATTCAGTTTAATAATCATGTTTTTAGTAAAATATTGATATAAAATTGTTAAAAAAGTTAATTGTTGACATTTTTAATATCAAAAACATCAAGATATGTAAAGTTATTAGTTTGAAAATAATTTTCAGCATTAAAAAAATATTTTTTATAACGAATTTTTTCTTAAAAAGAATGTTTATTTCAAAACATTTGAGTTTAAACAAAAGGAAACCATATACATTTTTGAACATTGAAATGGGTGAAATTTCAAAAATAATAATTATTACATATTCATTAACATTTATAATATTGATAAATTTGAACATAACATGCTTGAATGAACATGACAGAACTTGCTCTTCAGTTTCTATCAAAATCACCTGATGTCCTATAAAATACATTTTTATGTGTTAAATCGTTTGATTAATTCATTAGAAAAATCTTTGTAGAAGAAAAATAATAGTTTACCAGCACATTTCACGTGTTTTTTGTGAATTTTATTAGAGGTAGTATTTCTGTGGATTTTGTACTTCCGAGAAGCTTCTGCATTTGACATACCACCAGCAACTGCTTGCAAACATTGTTGCAGCTTTTCTAAAGTGCAATCACGGTAGTCTCTCGTTCCAGGTATTTTTTTATAACGTCTGACAATTTTTCTGTCGAAAAAAAAAAACTAATGAAACTTTTCAGAAAGTAGCCCCACTGTGCATTTTTTTTCATTTTCCGTTTATTTGCTATTAATTTTCAAATTTTTTTAACGCTAACATGATGTAATTGTTTATTAATATATAAATAAAAAAATTTGCACTTATGACAATTGTTTTATCAATTTCTTTGCATTTCACAGCTAAAGTTTCCACTCACACTTTTCGGCGTCCGATGATCTCGGAAAGTTGTTGACATTGGATAAGCAAAGCACACTCTGAGATTGTTTTAAAACTCGAAAAAATGTTTGAAGTAGTAGAGGAGACTTCTATCTTCAAATTCCACAAATTTTTAACGTGAAAAATACATAATACTGAATAGCAGCACTTGAAAAGTGCCAAATTCGAATTTGCACAAAGTAGCCCCCGCTGTACTGTTAATTTCTGCAGGAAACTATCTTTGGATAAACAAATTTTATAATTGTGTGTAAAAAAAATTCAATTCGCTTAAAAAGTTCTCGAGATATAATTAAATACGCAAAAAGCAAAAATAACATTAAGGGGTCCAAACTTTGGAGCACTCTTCTGACCAAACTATTGAGACCTTATTTCCCAGATCGGAGCTACGCACTATATTTTAGGGGGACAGAAGTCCGAATCCGTCGGGGGGGGAGGTATGTTTATTCAGAGAAAATATGTTTTTGTGTCTGATTTGGTAATTTGAAATATCATCTGCACTTACTTTTAAGCATATTTGAGGTCATCTCCTCAAACCATTAAGAATGAGTCCTAGAGCATGAAGATCCAATCATTAGATCAAACATTATTCAGGATGATCCTTTTTTTTTCTTGCACTGTACATAGAAAAAAGTATTCCTATACATTAAACATAAATGCAAAGGTGTACCATTTTTGTATCTTATTTGTTAACTTGTGTTTAAAATGTTGTTAAATATTTAAAAAGCAATTAGGTAATTAAATGTCAAATCAACCCAAGTAAAAGTTTTCAAAAGTTATTTAATTATAGAGAAGTTTATGGGATTAATTATTTACCTTATTTCAATTTTTCTTATATTAATTAAGATGTGACTTTTTTTATCCACTTTTGCCAACCTTATTTATTTCCAGTACTTTTTATCATGGTTAAAAACAATAAAAAATTTTAGTTTGCTAATCTAACATTATTTTAATCAGTTTGACTAATATTTGAATGATTATGCTTAGATTCTCTTAGAAAATGGTGCTGAGATTGAGAAAAAAAATGAACATGAACAAACTCCTTTACATTTGGCAGCAAAAAATGGACACATGAGGTTAGATAAAATTGTTATTAAAACATGTTTTATATGCTATAATTTTGGAAAAAATATTTATTTATATATCATTTTTTGAAGCTTGTATTATTTTTTTTCAAGATATTTATTTCAAAATCACTGTAATAATGCATATGTTAAATTATCTCCTTTATTTATTTTCAGTGTAGTTGAATTACTGATTAAACATACTAAAACAATTGTTAACACAGAAGATGAAAATGTCAATACCCCTTTACATCTAGCTTCACTGAGTGGACATTATCGAATATCTCATGCTTTACTGAATGCTGGTGCAAATATTGAAGCAAGGTGCTTATCTTACTTCTATTTTATATTTAAGAATAAAATTTCTATAAGCATTAACATTCTCATAAAAGTTAATGTAAAACTCTTTTGAAAGTTATAAAAAAATATATTATCCTTCTTTATTTATTCCTTTTTTTTATTACTTTTTCCTTTTTTATTCCTTTATTTACTCCTTCTTTCTTTGTTTATTTTTTCCCACAATAGATGCCACTGCCTATTGTGAGCCTTGACTAGCTAGACAATATTCCAATCTTTCCTGTTCTTAGCCATGAATTTTCAGTTGAAAATTTTCATTATTTTGTCACATCAGTTAACCATTTTTTTTTTTTTTTTTTTAAATCTTCCCTTGAGTCTCTCAAATATAAGATAAGTAATATCTGGTGTGTCTTGACTTGAAGAACAATATTATTCCAAACCTCTGTGTTCTCAGCTTTGGATTTCCAGTTATAATTTTTTATTATTATTATCTACTCATCTGGTCTATCATATTGGCTACTTATCTGACTCCTAAATTCATTGATTTTCTGTTGAAGAATTTCCTCAAGCCCCTGTTTTCATTCATTGTTCTTTAGCCACTTTAGGCATCTAGATTTTAGAAATAGCATCTAGAAATAGTATGATGTTTTCAGTTAAATTCCATTGTCAAGTTCTCTAATTTTATGGTCTTTAGTCCACTATTTATACAGTCTTTCTGTTTTTTACCTCGGATTTCTAGTTCAAAATTTACATTGTGATAATAGTTTTACTACATTATCTAACCATCTTTTTTTTTTTTTTGAAATCTTAAGTTTATTGGCATTTAATTAAGGACCGCTAATTTTGTTCATTCTTTTTAAGCCCTACCAAATGCCTAGTTTTAATCAATCAACTAATTTTTACCTGTTTTATTCAGTCTTTTAGTAAACATACACATTTAGGATACTCTGACTTGACCATATTAATTATATGGTCATGTCAACAGGACTTGAAATTTATGGTGATCCCTTGGTCACATACCATTAAAATTCGAATTTTACTACCATAAAATAATTATCAATGGTTCACCAAAATCAGCAATCTAAAGAGATGGTATCCTTTTTGATTTGCAACTTCACATGTTGGACAAGTTTTTAACTATTTCTATTAATATAATCAAGTTCACTATTTTAATACTCCATCTCTCATCTTATCATTTTTCATTACAAATATAAATAAAAAATCTAAAACTTGTGTAAAAAATATAGATACAAACATATGGTTTATATAAAACCTCTTTTACTGAATGTTTAAAAAATTAATATACATTTTAGCAACTGCTACCTGTGGACTCCTCTTGCTTGTGCTGCTTCAATGGGATGGAAGAGATGTTGCCAAATTCTTTTAAATGCTGGATCTTTTGTTGATTCACTTGATAAAACAAAAGTAAACTTGTTTTTGTTTAGAATAAAATTTACTTTCATTTTAGTTACAAACTTTGTTGCATTTATTGGTGAGCAGATTATATTGTCTATTTTTGCTCTCAGTTTTTTTATTTTTAATTAAAAGTAATTTTAGTCAAGGTAGCTTTCTGAAAAATAACTATGCATTTTTTGTAAAGTATCAAGCAGCTATTATTTGCTATTAATTTCATACTGCCATTAGTGGTATTAATTAATAAATAATATTATTTATAACTAAACATATTGTATTATACAAAATACTAATATTCAAAGAGAAAAATAAAAAATTCTAGCAAAAAAATTTAAATTTTTTTAATTTTAGTATAGTAATTAGTAATTTTTTACTATAGTAATTAGTAATTTGTTAGTAAAGTAATGAATTAATTTTTGTTTCAGCTTCCCTTTAATTTTGATGTTTTAAACATAATAGCTTTTAGCCTTATAGTATGTATTTTGTGTTTAAATTGAAAGTTGTGTTAAATTGTTAAAACATTTATTTCTTAATTATATTTAATTTTTAACTAAATTATAATTAAAGTCTTAATAACTAAACATAAAATAAATTTTTAAAAAAATATATCCTCAAAATAAAATAGTCAACATTTTTTATTTTTGTGCTGATTCTTTCTATGTGATTCGAGTGTAAATTAATCCTCTGTGCTAATTGATGAACAATATTTAAGAGAAACATTATTTTAATGCTGCTGCAATTAGCGTTAGATAAACATGCATGTTATACAAGCAGCAGTTATGAGAAATTTTTTAACTCTTTGTGTATTTCATATAAATTATAAAAAAAAAAATTTTATAATAATAAAGTGATCTGTATGAGTGATCTTATGAGAACCGGTAGAAACCAACACAGACTAGAGTCGCTTTTTTTCGCAAGCTTTCAATTCTAAACTATTTATTTTTAAACATAAACACTTTAAAGTAGCATGCAGGTAACAGTATATATTATTATTTTTGAATTAATATTATTATTTTTAATTAATAATTATTATGTATTAATCGTTGAAAACTACTTTTTCAATATTTTTGTTCTTTTAATTCAAATCTAGGCAACACCATTACATTTAGCTGCCCGGGAGGGACATAAAGGAGTTGTGAAGTTGTTATTGAAGTTCAATTCTAATATTTCCCACTGTGATAAAAATGGAAAAAATTGCTTGGATTTAGCAATTGATAAAGGTCATGAGTATGTAATAATGGTACATTATTTTATATGTATTTTCATTCGTAAAAATTTCATGATTTTTTTTTACAAACATATTTTTATAAATTATTTATTAGATATATGAGGTATTAAATTTACCCTTGTTTAAGAACATGCTTAGGATTTTAGTAGTATAGCATGTAAAGGATTCTTTTGAACAATTTGTACTTATATTATATAAATTATACTGTTTTTAAAAAAAATGTAGCATAAATTTAACATTAAACATATTACTATACTAAAGAAACTTATATATTAATATTTTTTATTTTCTTACATTTATTCTCTTGTTTATCAAATTTTCTATTACAAGCTGCAATTTATCTACTATTTTTAGTTTGCACAAAATTTTTTAACTAGAATATGTTATATAGTTTTTAGCCTGTTTCTATTTGAAACTTTATTTTTAAAACTTAAATAGTTTATTGAATAATATTTAATGATTTGAGTGATTTGTCAACTGATCTAAGACTTAAGCCAAAAAAAAAAAAGTCTGACTGTTAATCACTTAGGTTAAGGAAGATTTAACTGTAATATTGTTTTTGATAAAATTTTATTTCAAAAATTTCTAATAATTTAAAAGCAATATAATCTGTCAGTGTCCTTTCAATGTTTGGAAAACAATAATGGTTATAATATTGTATTTTAAAAAGAGAAAACTGTACAAAAATGTTTCTTATATTTTCCATTTCAACTAGTTTAATGATTTCCATTGAATTAAGTTATTTTAATTAAAATAATTAGCATTAATTTGTAATCAGGATTATGACATTATTCATAAATCTTTACTTGGTGTGTTGAAAATAGATGAGAAATAACTTATTTTTTCTTATGTTTACTATAAAAAGTATTTTAAAATTTTCATCTTGTTAATTTTTCTTTTATAACATTTTAAACTCGTAACAAGTTTTAATTTTATTTTTAAGTGATGTTGCTTTAGAAATCTTGTCAGATCCGAATTGGGAAACAGTACTTCGTAACGAATCAGATACTAACAAATTTTCTATGCATCAAACTCCATTGCGTAGACTGATTCGTTACATGCCTGGTAAGTATTTCATTTTTAAAATAATAATTTAACATTTTCAGTCTTTTAGCACTTGATAGCTTTTTCATTTACAAACAGCAGCTTATGCAATTTTTTGTAGACATAGTATTTTATAGATATAAAGCTATTTTATGGTATATTGTTTGTATTAAAGGCGCTTTAGGAGTTGTTGAGGTTCATATGGCTACTACACTCATGATATTTTATAGTACAGAAAAAGATTTTTTTTTTTAGAAGAATATTGCTAGAAAACAATTTGGCTTTTAAATAGCTTTTATATCAATTGATAATAATTTTCCTCTTTTTTGTTCAATGTAAAAATCAATTTTAGTTTATCATAAAAACTAAAAAGCAAAATGCAAAAAATTGTGTATTATATTAAAAGAATATCAAAATTTTAATTGAAGTTTTGTGAGATTCAGCTTCTTTAATGAAATTTAAATAAAAGTAGATTTTAAACTTTCTCTGTAAAAAAGTGTTTTTATAATTTTTATACTATAAATAAATAAATTTTTAAATTCTTACAGTGGGAAATTATTTTAAACTAAAACATGTTCAAAGCATAATATTTTTTTAAAACATGTATATATATAACCCTTTTGGAATTTTAAATTTTTTTTTGTTTTTGTTTCAAAGTCGGTTAAAACTAATTTATAAGAGTAAATTAAAACTTCCTCATCTAGTTATGAAGACAAGGAGTTGCACATTAAAGAGCTACAAGTTATGTGCATCTATTTTACAGTGAGATGTATGCTATAATTAATTATTTTTAAAATAATTTATTTGAATAATATGACTTAAATAAATAAGGCAATATTTATTGCTTTAATGATACTCAGTTTTATATTTATTTCGTGCGTAAACATTATCTCTATTTTCTTTTTATATACAAGAAATTATTTTCATACGAAAAGCTTGCTGCTCTTTTTTCAGATTTTAAATATTTCTATCTATGTAACTTTCAGATGTTGCTTCTTATGCACTAAGCCGATGCATATCCGCAAATGAGCTTGCTGAAGATGATCCTGATATGGAGAAAATTTACAATTATGAGTTTCTTGATGATATGTTTGCTTGTTACAGACCCTATTTATATGATGGTATGGATCGAAATGATGACAAGTCTTCTCAATCAGGAACTAGTATTCTGACTGGTAAAGCAATAAATACTTTCAATTACAGTTCATTGTATTATNAATAATTACTGTTTAATGTAAGCCAGTGCCAATAAAAATAAGAGATATTGCATTTAAATTTCAGTAGCAAATAATTATAATAAGTTAAGAAGAACAATGGTGGCTCAGAGGATAGAGTGCTTGCCTCCCAATAAGATGATCCAAGTTCTAATTCTAGCGATGGCTGATTGATATGAATTTCGCATGCTGCTTGCCCTGACCACAGTACTAACTTAAAATATCCTCAACGGTAGACGGATATGGCTTAGAGTCCCTTTGCTAGTTAACCGGGCGAGGATTCTGTGGTTTTTCTCTCCATGCAACGCAAATGATGGTTAGTGTTATCAGAAAGTCCTCCACAAAGGTAAATTTCTTCTAATACTTGATTCAGAAGTTTTCTTGTCTTCTTGGTTGGGTTCAAAATTACAAGGCAACAGAGTTGAACATTGGTAGTCATAAACTCAAAATTTGGTCGGCTGTTCAACAACAGATACAAAATATAATAAGTTAAAAAATAAAAAACTGTCTGATCAAACTTACTCGCCATGAGATCCAGCCTTCTATATCTAGCTCCTTTTTCACAAATTGAGAACCAATTTTGTTTGAGACATTTTCAGCTTCTTTTGCATCTCTAAGTGGTTGTGAAGGATTATCTTTTATTGATATTATTCCTTTTGGATTAAAGTAAGTATCCCATTTAACTTTACCAGAGATGAGGTGTGCACTTTAAGAAACAAACAAATATATAAATATTATTTATATTAAAATAACAATATTTTGCCATAAAACAAGATCCCACAAAAGTGATTTTTTGATTTTAATATAATGTAAAAACATAGATTTAAGAGTTAAAATATAGGCATCTGTTTTGGTTTCTATAGACAAATATCATCATCGCTAAAATTGAATGAAGAGAAAATAGTTGTGAAAAAAGCCTAACAACATTGATAAAGGTAATTGTTTACAGCATACAAACATCTGTTCTCATTTATGTGTGCTTTTTACATTATTTCACATGCTATATAAAACAAGACTGTTAATACTTCAATGAGAGATAACCTTAAAAAGTGAAATCTTAGTCCCTTAAATATTACAATAATAAAACTTATAATTTATTAGAGGGATATCTCACTTATTTACAAACAAGGGAAATATTTTTTTCTTAAAAAAAAAAGACCAATTTTTAAATTTAGTAGAACCTTGTTTATCCAAATTAATTGAGATAGTTAAAAATTTGGATAAAAAAGGGTAATTAAAAATTTGGGTATTCAAAGGTACTTCTTTATAACCTAACCATATAATGTCATTTGTCAACCACTAAAATCAAACTTATTTTCTGAGGATTTAATAGCATATTTCACTACTTATTTTAAATTAAAGTTATGAAACTGATGTCTATTAAATAATGCAGGAAAAATTGTTCTCAACTCCAAACTGCTTTCTTTAGTTTTTTTTTTTTTTTTTTACAAACATATTTTTATAAATTCTTTGTCAGATATATGAGATATTAAATTTACACTTGTTTAAGAACATGCTAAGTATTTTAATAGTTATATCATGTAAAGGATGCTGTTAAACAATTTGGACTTATATTATGCGAATTGGAAACTGTTTTTTTTTTTAAAAATGTAGCATTAATTTGACATTAAACATATTACTTTACTAAAGAAACTATTAATAATTTTTATTTTCTTAAATTTATTCTCTTGTTTATCAAATTTTCTGTTACAAACTGCAATTTATCTACTATTTTTAATTTGCACATAATTTTTAACAAAAATATGTTATATAGTTTTTAGCCTGTTTCTATATGAAACTTTATTTTTAAAACTTAAATAGTTTATTAAATAATATTTAATGATGTGAATGATTTGTCAACTGATCTAAGACTTAAGCCAAAAAAAAAAGTAAGACTGTTAATCACTTAGGTTAAAGAAGGTTTAACTGTAATATTGTTTTTAATATAATGTTATTTCAAAAATTTTAAATTTCTAATCATTTAAAAGCAATATAATCTGTCTGTGTCTTTTCAATGTTTGGAAAACAATAATGGCTATAATATTGTATTTTAAAGAGAGAAAACTGTACAAAAATGCTCTTTATATCTTCCATTTCAAATAGTTTAATGATTTGTATTGAATTAAGTTATTTTAATTAAAATAGTTGTCATTAATTTGTAATCAAGATTGTGACATTTTACAGTTTTATTTTTATTTTAAAAGTAATTTTTTTAAGGAATTAAGTAAAATTTTAAATGAGTTTAATTGAATTGTGTCTTAATTTTTTTCCTGTTTCAGTCTTTTTAATTAGGAAATAATTTCATCGAAATGAATTAAAAATGAGTTATCGGGAGAAAAAAAAAATTTATATTAACCCATTGAATATTACACATTTCAGCAAACTTGTATGGAATTCACCCCCCCCCCCNCCCCCCAATCATCCGTTAATCATCCATTAAACAATTAACAACCATTAAGTGATAAACTTCTTAAGAACTGAAATTAGGAGCTGCCTCCATAAGCTCTGAATCATGGAACAGACCTGTTCCTTCAAACTATCTTTTATTGACCAGACATAAGCAGAGAAAAGTCTGTTCATGTATCTTTGAAAGCAAACCGAAATTTTGACTTATAATTGGTGAATAAAATTCTGGTTGTTTTATTATTAAAGATTTTTCAATTTCTAGTATTTGAAATGAGCTTGTAAAAAGTACCTTAACTGTTCAATAGACTGCGTGAAAAAACAGTAAGTTAATCTAATTTAATTGCTCATTGTCACACTCATATAATACATAAGCATCTGGGTAGACACACTCCAAATTGCACTAGCTGCAATAGGCCTTTAACAATTAACAACACTATTTTGACTTATGTTATTACTTTGTAACTTCTTATGGGCAATAAACCTAAGTGTAATCTTTTTTTGCATCTCAAGATTATTTGTTTTTATACCTCAATTTAGTATCTAAAATTAAACATTTGAGCTGTTATTTAAGCCAACTTCATAGTGCAATATAGCTATTTCTGACTTTTGTGCCAAAGACTGTAGATTAGCATAAACACCCAACATGAATGTTTCCCTATTATTTTTATTATATGACAGATATATGTATTATTCTATGCTGATATATCATTCTACTTTCATAAATCTTTGTTTGGTGTGTTGAAAATAAATGAGAAATAACTTTTTTTTATGTTTACTTCAAAAAATGTATATTAAAATTTCCATCTTGTTAATTTTTCTTTCATAACATTTTAAACTCATAAAAAGTTTTGATTTTATTTTTAAGTGATGTTGCTTTAGAAATCCTCTCAGATCCGAATTGGGAAACGGTACTTCGTAACGAATCAGATGTTAACAAATTTTCTATGCATCAAACTCCATTGCGTAGACTAATTCGTTACATGCCTGGTAAGTATTTCATTTTTAAAATAATAATTTAACATTTTTAGTCTTTTAACACTTTATAGCTTTTTTATTTACAAGCAGCAGCTTATGCAATTTTTTGTAGACATAGTATTTTATAGATTATAATACTATTATACTAGAAAACTATTTTATGGTATATTGTTTGTATCAAAGATGCTTTAGGAGTTCTTGAGGTTCATATGGCTACTTTACTCATGATATTTTATAGTACAGATACGGATTTTTTTTTTAGAAGAATATTGCTAGAAAACATTTTGGCTTTTAAATAGCTTTTATATCAATTGATAATAATTTTCTTCTTTTTTGTTTAATGCCAAAATCAATTTTAGTTTATCATAAAAACTAAAAAACAAAATGCAAAAAAAAATGTGTATTTATATTAAAAGAATATCAAATTTTCAATTGAAGTTTTGTGAGATTTAGCTTCTTTAATGAAATTTAAATAAAAGTAGATTTTAAACTTTCTCTGTAAAAAACTGTTTTATAGTATTTTTATACTATAAATAAATTAATTTTTAAATTCTTAAAGTAGGAAATTATTTTAAACTAAAACATGTTCGAAGCAAAATATTCTTTTAAAACATGTATGTATATAACCATTTTGGAATTTTAAATTATTTTTTTGTTTCAAAGTCAGTTAAAAGTAATTTAAAAGAGTAAATTAAAACTTCCTCATCTAGTTATGAAAACAAGGAACTGCACATTAAAGAGCTACAAGTTATGTGCACCTATTTTACAGTGAAACGTATGCTATAATTAATTATTTTTAAAATAATTTATTTGAATAATATGACTTAAATAAATAAGGCAATATTTAATTCTTTAATGATACTTAGTTTTATATTTATTTCGTGTGTAAACATTATCTCTATTTTGTTTTTGTATGCAAGAAATTATTTTCTTATGAAAAACTTGCTGCTCCTTTTTCAGATTTTAAATATTTCTATCTATGTAAATTTCAGATGTTGCTTCTTATGCACTAAGCCGATGCATATCCACAAATGAGCTTGCTGAAGATGATCCTGATATGGAGAAAATTTACAATTATGAGTTTCTTGATGATATGTTTGCCTGTTATAGACCATATTTATATGATGGTATGGATCGAAATGATGACAAGTCTTCTCAATCAGGAACTAGTATTCTGACTGGTAAAGCAATAAATACTTTCAATTACAGTTCGTTGTATTATATATTTTTTTATAATACAATAACGTATTTTTTTATTTATCATTTTAGGTTCAAATATCTATGACGATGATGGAACAGTAAAAAAGAATGTCATTCCATACACATTTGATAAAGAAGTTTTGAAGTACAATCACCCTTTAATGCTAATGGTTTGTTTAGAATTAACAGTGAAATGTTTTTCAAAATATTTTTAAACATTATCAAGCCCAAACCTGACTTTAAAAAGTCGGTTAATATTGATTATATGCTTATTACTATACAGTGGATTTTGAAGTTCTTGAGAAAAAAATACTTGACCTATTGTTTTGTTATGTTTGTGTATTTTTTCCTCATAACTAGTAAGCACAAAAAGTTCATTTTATATATTCATTAGCTTTTTAACCCTAAGTTTGAAAGCCGCTCCTTTTTGCTCAGCTAATGTCTGAGGCGATCGAGCCAAGTCAGACTTCTACTTCTTTTGTGCTCTAGTCATTTCTTTTTTACAACAGAAGCTGCTCCCTTTTCTCCATTTCTTAGAGTTTCAGATTTCATAGAGCTGATTTGGCGTTGCTAAACAACGGTAATATGCAACAACATTAACTTTTTATGTATCAGGAATATAAAAAAACTACCAGTAATGATTAAATTGGCTAGACACAATATGTGTGAAACTTATTTTTATTTAGTTATTTATATACGAAATAAAAAAGAAAAAATGGAATGAAAGATCATAAAAAGTTTAAAATGACTTATTACGTGCTAACCATATTTCTTAAAACAATATTATCTGCTTATAGGAATGAGAGCATATAAGAATATCATCTAACAAAAAGTATTGTTTGTTAGCAAAGATCAAATACAGTTAGAACCCACTGTAATAAACCGTCACCCATAAATATGTCCTCTATAAATGATGGTTTACTGTATCCAAATTCTTTGAAATAATATATTTTAACATATTGTTGAAGTATTGTTAGAAGTTGTAATTTTTGTGATAGTATCTAATTTGCATAAGTATAAACTAACTCAATAAGTAGTCCCTATATAACGAAATTTCCCTACAACAAAATACCCCTATGACAAAACTTTCAATTGAAACGTTAAGTGACATTTTAAATATATTCCACCTAACAAAGTGTTTGTTGTTTGTTTTCCTATAAATAAATTTTTCTGTCGTTCTTGTTTTTGATTTTTGTCATTTTTTAAAACAGTTGTTATTGAATATTGAAATGTTTTAGCAACCAATTCGCTTTTACTCTTGCTTGTTTCTGGAATCACTTGCATTATTATCTCCAGAGAAAGTAAATAAAACTAGAATTCTGTATAATAGATACGTCTCATTTTAAACATTCCTTTAATATGTATTACTTCATTTTTAATTGAAAGGTATATTTATATCTTTCCGTGCTTCTCACTAAAAATTTATGAGCATTTATTTAAATAATTGCTAAATAGAAATTTTATTCCTCAATAGCTGAACAGCTGTTCATTATAAACGTATTAATCATCAGCACTTCGGATGAATCACGAGAGTAGTTCACTACAATTGAGTTTTTAGTATATCCTGAGTTTTTTATAGCAATGTTTAACTGTATATCCTTAAACTTTATCAATAAAGATCTTTAAAACGTAATAATAACAGCCTGTTCTACTTCAAATACCAAAATATAAAATAAATAATAAAATTTGTTGGTCATACAATAAACTAGAACCACCTCTTTTTCGAAATGCACTTTAAATGTTATATTCCACAATCTTTATAATAAGCTGTGAAAAAAATATATAGTCTGCTCTTAGTTTAATTTATTATTACTGCATCTCTACAAATTTGTACCATATTGCTTTTTTTAAATGAACATTACTCAATTAAATCTTAACCAAGTAATTAATTGACGCCCGGTGGCTGAGCGGTAGCGCTTCGCGCCTGTCGTGCCTGTCATCCCTTCAGTGGGTCGATAAATGAGTACCAAACATGCTTGGGAACTAAGCACTGGGGGTTCCGCGTTCGACTGACCACCTGACCGGAACATCTGCTCCTGCACCCCAGAGGCCAAGGTCAAGAAAACTGAGATGGGCACAGTTGGCCCTCTATGGGCTGTTGCGCCACTGAGTTTAGTTTAGTTCAAGTAATTAATTACTACCTTTGTTTTAATTTAAATATGCTGATAAAAAGTAAGCATGATGTTAAATCTGTTTATTCACAAATTTTTGAGTCATTCATCTTTTTCAAATGAACAACACTGATAAACTAAATACTAACAGAATAGTTAAAATGATTACAAGTGTATAACCTTAAATATGCTTATAAAAAGTGAACATATTCTTCTTTTACTGTAATTTGAAAGAATATAAATTAAGATATTAAATTCATTTACATATTTTCTGCTGATTTGACTGAAATTTTGCCATTTTAATGCAGGTATCTTATGGGAGAGAAGAATTGTTGAAACATCCATTATGTGCTAGTTTACTTAGGCGCAAATGGAAATACTATGGTCGATATGTCTACTACAGTAATTTGTTTGTTTTTATACTATTTTTAATGATTTTGACAACCTATGTATTGACCTCTGTTCCACCATGTTCTATCTCTGATGATGAGGAATTTGATTCTAAATGTTGGTATGTATTAACTTATTTGAGACCATTAAAGATCGTGCTGTTATTCTATGCTGAAAAAATTATAAATAAAATTTATAATTTTTCTCCTTGACAAAAATTAAATATATTATTGAAATCGATGCTTCATGCTGTTTTATTAGTGTACAGTGCGCAAAAAATAAGTGAAACACCCTGAATAACTTTTGATTTAATGATAGGCTATCAAGTATTAGCATTAAAATCATGGTTCAAGAGAATGACATCAATTGTGCTAATTAAAGTGTGCAGTTGATATTTTAAGTTACAAATTCAGATACAAAAACATACTTTCTCTAAATAAACGTTTCTTTTTTTTCTTTCTTGATACCAAAGTATAGGGGGAGCCACGATCTGGGAATTATGGTTCCAATAGTATAGTCTGGAAAATGGTTGAAAATTTGGACTCTTTAATAGTACTAATTTTACTTTTTACATACAATCATTGCACACAATTATAAAATGCGTTTATTCAAATATAATTCCATGCAAAAAATAATTTTTTATCAATTATTTATTAATTGTCATTATTTTATTTAATAACAGTCAAAGACATTTTGAATTGTATGGTTTATAAAGTTTTTCATTTCAAATAAATAATGCATTTTTATGGCAAAATGAAAATTTGAATGAAATTAGTCAAGTAGTTCCTGAATAATCAGATTTTTCATTTTCTGAAATAGTCAATTAAAAAATTTTTAGACCATCATTAAAAATTATATATAGTTAATATTTTTATTTTTTGGATGGATAAATTTTGATGGACCTTTGGATAAACGCAATTTTATAATTGTTAACAAATTTTTTAGTTTGCTTAAAAAGTTCTCGAAATTCTGCAAAATATGCACACAAAAAAATTCACATATTCTTAAAGACTTTCAACCACTTTCCTGACCAAATTGTTGCCACCATATTTCCATAATGAACCATATTTCTAAGATCGTGCCAAGATTGTTCTGCATTATAGGGGTCAGGAATCATAGTCCATCAAAGAATGAACGTTTTTGTTTCTGACCTCTGCTTATTTCATGACTTAAAATATCGTCTGCACTAATTAATTGACATATTTGAGGTCACCCCCCTTAAACCATTAAGATTGTGTCTTAGTAAATTAGATCAAAAGTTACTCAGGGTGTTTTATTTATTTTTGCACACTGCACATTTTTTCTGCTGTGTTATGAGTTTGTAAAATCATTTTTTTCTTTATTCTTTCTTCCAATATCTTCTAGGGTGTTTGCTTACTATAAAGTTAACTTCCCGGTTTTACAAAATGCAAGAAACAGAGGCCGTTTATTTAGACGAAATAATTATCATAATTTATTTTATGTGTTTTTTATTAGAATGCTACACATATACAGTAATTCATAAATAAATAACAAAACTCATAAAGTATTTATTATTTTTCTGGTAAAAAAGATATTAAATTTGATGTTCTTTGTTGATTTTTAGTCATTAAATTAAAGCTCTGTACAATGCTTTCCTGCTTTTTTTTTTTTTTTTTTAGTATTTTTCTAGCAAAATTAAAGATTATATACAAATTTATTTTAATGACAGCCACTAAATGTGAATTTTGTAAAATTATATTTCAAATGAAAATATACTTTTTTATGTTTTACTTTTCTATTTATGTTTCACTTTTTTATTTTTTATGTTTTACTTTTCTATTTCTTATTTAAATTTTTTTGTTCATGCATACAATATTTTATTCTTACAAATGTATTTCTTATAATTCTTTATATTAGTACAAACCAGAATTATACTTGCCAGCCATTTATTGGAGAATGTGATAGAGACATGAATCAAGCTTTCCCCAACTTCTGTAAAAATTTTATTTATATACTTGCAGTTTTGCATTTATTAAAAGAGGTAAGTCTGATTTGTCTTATTCATTATTATTCAAAAAATATTGCAAATTTTTAATTCAATTTAATGTTTTTCTTAAACTTAATAAATTCTAGAATGTAGTTATTAGAAAATTAAATAATTTTATTACCAAAGGGGCAATATACAAATACCTGACAGAGCGGCAATCAAAAGGGGATTGGTCGGCACAAGGCACCGAGTCTTGTTTGATCATGAGCAAGTGAAAGGGTCAAATCCAAATTCATAAGGCTTGTCTGCAGAAGAACCAGTGGTCACAGACACGGTAGGTAGTGTAGGTCGGCACCCCAACCCCATTGGGCTGACCTCAGACTGGAAGGCCAACCAAACTGTTTTTATATGCATATTCATAGCCGCCAACTCTTCTGGATTTTCCAGTAGACTACTTGTTTTTGCCAGTTTCTCCTGGTTTACTGGTTTAATTCAAATTCAACTGGTTTTTGTACATTTTAGGAAATTCTAAAATTGAGTAAGTTTCCTAAAAGAATCCCTATTGAAATAGAATTTTCGTACAGATTACTGCTGGAATATATAAATAAGTATTACTAATACATAATAAAGCGAGCCTCTTTAATAGAAATCAGTTCAAAACTTTTTTTGCTCTGAAATGTTCAGTTTATTTTTACTCAGAGCTTTCTTTTTAAATTAAATTTTAAAGAAATCTTTTAACTATCTTTGATCAATTAGTAATATTCAATATTATGAGTAAACATAATACACAACATTTGAAGTATGTTTAACGTCAATCATAACTGAAAAATATTGCAGTATTTCTATTTTGATGACTATAAAAATCCCTACAATTTCCTGTATGTAAAATATTTAGTATATTATGCAACAATTATCATGAAACTTATATTATTTCATAAAATCTACTGAAATTTTTTTCCTATCCATCTTGGCAGCTATGCATATTCACAAATACATAATTACTGGGAAAGAATCTAAAAATTACATTAAATGAATTCTAAAAATTACAACAATTACATTCGAAAGGTACACCAAAAAAGTTCAAAATTTACATAATAAAGTATTGCAAATGAATTTAAAAGGCTATCATCTAAACTTAATTTCAAAACTGTTTCCATTTTATTAGGAAAATAGGTAACCTTATTTAAATAGCTATATCTCAACAATAATATATATTTTATCTTTATTATTTATAATTGATTTAGAAATAATATAAGTTGTCAATCCTCTAGGTTGGTTTTCTTTGCCACAAATTCATTATCCATTTGTTCTAATTGATCATAATTATTTCTTTTAGATACTTTATAATGTATCATTTACTCTTTTGTAATTAAAACACTTAAATCAAGCATAAAAATTACCTGTATTAATATTATTATGAACTTAGTATGTTGTATTTTTTTTATTTCAATGGTAACTCTATTGTATACTTATTTTAATTATGTTGATTGATTTAGTTTAAATCATCAATTTTAGTGAAACAGAATTTTTTTTTCTTCTTTTAAAGTTTGTTTTATTTAAAATATTTCATAATGTGTTACTGTATAATTAGACTGAAAGTTCATGTAACTTTAGTATTTAATATGTCAACGTATGTGTTAGTTCTTTTTATATTTTTGATTCAAAACTTTTTCATAAATAAACAAAAATTTATTTTAAATACTTTTAAATTCAAACAGCCAATTTCAGAAGAATTTTTACTTTTTTTCATATGTCTTATAATTTTGAACAATAATTTAAGAAAAAAAAAAAAACTCCATAACGATTTTTAAAATCGGTTCGTGCTAAATTAATTAAAATTTGCAAGTTTAAATTATCTTACTGATTATATTTCTCTATATGTTTATAAATTTAATTTTTAAAGAAATAGCATTAGTTGATAAATACCGAAATTCAAATATTTTTTTATCTAATATTAGTCAACAACAAAAATTAGTGAAGTTTTATATCCTGGTTATTATTTATTTTTCATTTATTTATTTCAGATTTTCCAACTGTATCAAAATGGGAAAAGATATGCGAATTTAGAAAATTGTTTGGAATGGTCCTGTTACTTAAGTGCATTATTATTTGTGGCTGATTTCACTGAGTGCTCTGTTGAAAGTGGCATTCGTGAAGTAGGAAATTTTATTTGTTTTTCTTAGAATGTTATTGTGAGAATATTAATTTGCCAAGTGTCATAACATTTATATCAGAAAATTGTACTGAACGAAGTATTTAATGTTTTTTTTTCTTTATCAATTTAGTTAATAAAATTGATAGACCATTAGAAAAATAAAATAGACTTCTGCTCAAAGAATAAAAACTGTTTAATTTACAAAAAAGCTATATTTTAGCTGTTCATTTAATGATTTTTTTTTTAAGTAGACATAAACCCTGTTTTATACAACCTTGTCAGATATCTGTAGTAATAATGAAGAAATTACTTTTTTTCTTACTGTTCAACAAATTTATGCTATACCCCTCCTCATTGAAAAATGTGCAGAATAATGAAATGTTGAATCCTGGTGTCGCCCTACTATACTCATAGTTATTTGATATAAAGCTAAGTCTTCTTGAATAATTTTACTTAAAAGATTATCATAAACATCTTAAAAGCATTTCTTAAATAAAATTTACATGCATATATCTTCTTCATCAATTTTAAAAAATACAAATATTATTTTTCGTAGGCTTAATACTAAATGCATGTAAATTTTTAATTAAATAAATATAACTTTTTTTCAGTTATAGTAAATATTGATTTTTTCTGGTGTATATAAAAAATTAAAGAATTTTATGATTTTTTTCCGATATTTTATGTTTGCCAGTTGGAGTAAATATTGATTGAACTGATTTTTTTTGGACATGAATAGTTTAGTAATAATAAGTGTTGATGAAGTTACTATGATAATTTTAATTATGTTTTCAAAATAATTTTGTTATAAATTTATCAATTTTTAGTTGAGTTTTTCTAATACTTTGTTTTAGAAAATGCTGTAAACCCTACTAAGTTTCTAATATAATGATTTCTTGAACAATTTTAAAAATGTTCTTTTAAATTGGGGTGTGGATATCACCTAGCATATATCTACTCTTGTTAGTAATATTTATATAATATTGTATAAGGCTTAACTTGCTACTAATGTATGCTATTATCTGTATTGATTATATTTTTTTCTTTTATTTACTGCATGTTAATATATTAAAATATTACTTTTAGGTCTGGCAATGGGAACTTGGAGCAATATCAATATTTACAGCTTGGATGGTTTTTCTTATATTTATCAGCAAATTTCCTTTTCTGGGAATTTATGTAATAATGTTCTTCGAAATCTTAAGTACTTTTGTCAACTTTTCATTTGTTTTCTTTCTCTTTGTTGTTGCATTTGGCCTTGGATTTTATAGCCTTCTTCAAAATCAGGTATACAAATATTTCATTGCAGGATATTTTCTAAAGTTTTTGTTTGCATTTTTAACTTATATTTTGTTGCACTTTTCAGAAAAAACGTCATCAACTATATGTATTTCAATATGTAATTAATTTAAATTTTTCATTTTTATACTGTCAGTGTAGTGTAAGTTTTAAAATATATTTTTTATCCCTCATAAATTTTGAAGACTTGAAACTAGAACTTTACATTTCGAGCAATAACTTTATTTTTTTTAATTGAAATACAAAAGATTTTCTGTAATTAAAAAAAACATCAAAATTTACATGATTATGTATTCCGTAATTTGTATTCAATCTGATGCTTACTTTTGAATACTAGATGTTCTGTTATATTATTTCAAAATTCATTTTAATCTATTTTTAAACTTTTTTTTATTATTGCAATGTATGTGAACCACACAATTTATAAACTTTGAAAATCTTTTAAACTTCATATCCATTACAAAGTTTTATATTATTTAAAGTTTAGTTTTCAAAAATGATTTCCAAAAATTATTTTTAACAGCATTGAAAATGATTTTAAAAAAATTTAACATGCTGTGAAAAATATTTCAATAGAAGTCTCACGGTATTTAAAAGTACATAAAAATTTTCGAATCTCATGTAATTTTTGGAGTCAGGGACAAAATTAGTTTTAAGGATCTATATAACAAAGCTTTCACATAATGCTTGTCTTCCTTTACATCAGCCTCAAGTTTTAAGCATTATAATGTATTTTTTACATTTTATTATCCACAACTTAAATTAAAAATTTTATATTTATTTTTTGAGTTTTATTGAACGTAAACAAACTTAATTTATATAAATCGCAATTTTCTCAAGTTGTATTAAATTTAATATATTGACTACTTTCATAATTTTCGGGATGATTCTGAAAATTATGAGTTTTCAAGATAATTCTGAAAGCTCCTCTCTATTTCAATTGACTTAGCTATTTTTGATAATTTGTTTGCCAAATATTGCAAAAGAATTTTTAATCAGACATGACAGAAAGTTTTATTTAAACAACTTAGGTTTATAGTGAATTTATTTGCTTAATTTAAATTGTTTGCATTTATGTAAGAATGTAAAATATTAGTTAATATTTTTTTCATTTTTTAATTTAAAATGATAACCGCTAATTTATAAATGACAACAACAAAAGGAAACTTATTTTTTATTTATTTATTTTGCATAAATGAAACTTTTAATATCTAGAATGTTACTAAAATAATATTTTATTACTAAAAGCCATTATATCACTGCAAATTTTTTAACTTAATACTCATGCATATCAGAATTAATTCAGCCAGGTATTGTAAATATTTTCTACATTGTTTAAACTTAGATTCATTACAGTACTTGGTGATAATTTTTTGAAAAAAATTCTTATGATTACCGAACACAGAAATTTCGTGGAAATCTTATCACGCTATGTTAAAAAATTTGGGGAAAACATTATCCATCTTATCATATGTTTTATACCCCCACATTGCAAACTTTACTCATAATTATTCATTCATTTATTTCAGAGTCCTTTTGAAAATCCAGGAAAAGCTATTCTTAAAACTGGAGTTATGATGATTGGTGAAATTGAATTTGATGCCATTTTTAATAATTCTGAAAATAATCTATATTTTAGCGGGCCTACATATGCTTTATTTGTTGCCTTCATGCTCATAATGGCTGTAATTATTATGAATCTCCTAGTTGGTCTGGCCGTAGATGATATAAAAGGTGTTCAAGAACAGGCTGAACTTAAACGATTAGCCATGAAAGTAAATTTTAAAAATTTAATCCATCAGTACTATTTATTTGTAGCTATAATGTATGTTTATATCTGCGAAGTATAAGTTAATCATTAAAGATCTGAAATGCTAGCTTGAAAACTTATAAGAAAATTCTGTCATTGTAATTGATTCTGTAAATGTGTGAATTTCTTAAGTATGTAGATACTCTATGGAATCTTATTCTACAGAATTTGTGGAATCAAGAGATAAACTGAAAATATAGTTTAAAAGCAGTAACGATAATAACCTTACTTCACATAATAATTTCCTTTCCCAATCAAGAATTAAATTGCACTTGATTTTCTGGTTTATTTTAAGCTTAAATATGAAAGAAAAACTCAGACAATTTGAATCTAAGAATGATTGATTCTTTTTACAATCTGCTGCCCCAACTCTCAAAATTTGATAACTAAATTAAACATATTAGAATGCATTAAATTCGAAGTTGCCTCGAAAAGTAGGTTCCCACAATATTTCCGATATTTAGAACTAAAAATAAAAGCTGCAATGTTTCCAAATAATATTACTAAATAAGAATAATCATGTGTAGATTCAAAATATGAAAAATTATAAGAATATGAACCTTTCTAATCTCTGGAACATTTAGAGATGAAATATTTTAAATTTTTATTGTAAATCCATTTTTTAATAAGTATAGAACTTTTTTGATCTATCTCTGTTTTAAAAAGCCAAAAGCTCGAGTAAATGAGTAGTCAATTATCTAAAAATTAAAATGATTTTTATCAAATTGAATCTTTCTAAGATTTCTTTGTGATTTGCAGACATGAAAATACCTCTTAGAACTTTGACTTTAGGGTTAACTCAGTTACAGTTATTTGAAAGGCTTTATAATTGCACTGGTGATAATAATTACTGAAAATTTTTAATTCATCCTAAATTTGATTTAAATTGTCTAAAATCTCAGGAGCACAAAAATGCTCTTTGTTTAGTGCTTTTTTCTATATTTAAACTAAAACCAATGTTATAATTACATTAACTATTCTTATTTGATGTATTTTATGCATTTCATTTTTTTCTCATATTTATAAACCTTTTTCTTAATTTTTCAACTTTTATTTCCATGATATTTTGTTTTTTTGTTTAATTTTTAGCTTTATGTAATTTGTTTTCATTCATTTTAACTTCTGTTAACTGTGATTGCAGTTCCTTTTTGTGTCAAATAATTCATTTCTCTTTTAATAGGTAGAACTTGTGTTAACAGTTGAACGTACTCTGCCTGTTGTTCTCTTAAAGAAATGCATTTTTAAATATAGAAAAATTTATCCAAATAAGTGGAATTCAATTCCTTGGTATTATCGAATTTTTAAAGTAAAACAAGTTCCACCAAATGATCTATCTAAACAGGTAGTTATTTCATTGTTTGTTTTTTATCATTTCTAAACTAATTTTAAAAAAGTGATAAAGAAATGAGCTCTTTATTTGTTCTTTTGCTTTCACAAAAAATCAACCTTTTAAGCTTCATTTTTTTCCTCTTAGTGTTCCTACTTTTACAATTTCTATTTACGTCACTTCAGTGAATGTATTTATTTCTGAAAGTTGTGCTGAAGATAATGTGCCCAGAACAGAACAATGTACTATAGAATAGTTTTTAGTGCCAGAAGATGACTTTATTATTTTACTAATATGGTTGCCATTTATTTGGAGCACTGTCTAAGTCCAAAATAGCCACAATGACTCTGTGGTTAAAACACTGAACTGTCAATTTAAAAAACTGGGGTTTGATCCCTGGTGGTTGCTTGACTTATTTGGGATTCTGGATATGATTCAACTTATCTGGGAAGTGAAGGAGACCTGTGCACAATTCTTATGCACATACTGTTACAATCACACCATTGCTCACTAAATCACGAAACCTTAACTTCTATGACCCCCCTGGTCCACAATGGACTGTTGTGAGAATGCTTTTTCAAAGAAAAAAAAAACCTGTAAACAAGTGGAAGTTTTAATGGAGGATAAAATCTATCATCCATAATTCATAGCTTCTGTTTATGAAATATTTGGTGCAATCAAAGAGTTATAGCTTGTGATGTCTGTTCAACAATCTGCCTGGGTAAAAGAATGGTGCAATCAACTATGGCACTAAGAATCATACTACTGCACATTGTTCTATTCTGGATGCATTCATGTTTAACTTTACTTTCAATCACTTTAAATGCTCTCATGTGAATTAGTTCTATGCAATCTGTTTTGCTCTTGATAAAAAGTATTTTTTTAAATAAAAAATATATTTAAAATCCACCAGAAATGTAAATTATACTAAGCTGAAAATGTCATAGGGTAGCCTCACTAACAGAAAAACATCTGATTTGATTTAGGCAATCAAGGGAAAGCATTGTGCATTAAGAAGCCAAAACATAAAAATGTGTATTGTTACCTCTCTTCCAAATAAATAAATTCCTTAACGAAATTAATAATTTAATAATGCAATAATTTATATTTTGCCAAGGCAATAAATTAAGAATCATTTAGATTGGAAAGCGCTTTTTATACCCAATAATTAGTCACAAATGTACCATTTAAACTCTCTTCACTAACCTATTAAATCAGATATTAGCAATGATGTATAAATTGAACTATTTGTTATTATTTGAAAAACCATTATTGATAAAGTATTAAAATTTATTTCATACGTATATGTTATTAGGTAATCACTTAACGTATTTATTTTATACTTAAAAAAACCTTTAATTTTTAATCAATGCTTGTTTTAATTTTTTTTAATATTAATTATGCAAATTCATGAATATTTTCCTTAAATTTTCGACTTGTAAAATCTTTTATTGAGTATAATCATGTTGTTTTTTTTTAATTACAGTAGACATTTAGGTAAACAGGAAATCATGTAATGGTTTCTGATAATCACTCTAACTACTAGGGCAAATGCTTTAAAACACTTAACATTCATATAATGTAACGAAAAACTAGTTTTTAGTCTAAAAAAGCAAACTAAGTTTTTTTAAGATGTTTTATGATGTTTAGAAGTCTTAACTAAAATAAATCTTTCTTTGAAAGTCATTTCAGTTAAAAAGTTAATTGTATATAAAAGTAATTTAATTATTTGTCATTTATTTTATTTTCTCTCTCTCTATTTCAGTCACCTCTTCATGATGTTGAAGAAAAACAGAATAAATTGATAAAGCAAATGAAAGAATTGCAAGATTCAATTCATCAAATTCAGAAAGATATTAAAAATTTAATAGCAAACAATAAAAATTCCAAAGATATATAAGAACTCAAATTTGTGTCTCGTGTGTCTATGTCTTTTTCTGGACATATGTTATTCAAAGTAATTTGGGATGTCATAAGGTTATTATTTTTATAATGATTTTTATGGTGCTTTATAATGGTGCTTATAACACATTTCATTTTGATATAAACTGGTTTTGGCAGCTCTATTTTCTTTTAGCTAGTTTGAAAATTTTAAACTTTCTTTTATTAAATTATTTAATTTAATTTATCTTGTAATATTTTATTTTATTCTAAAAAAAGTTTTAGTTCTGTAATTTTAAGTAATTTTTGTTATAACTACAAAATGGAAACTTAATTATTTTTCTTGTGAAAGTGAATATTATTTTTCGTTATGTAAACAAATATAGCTTTATGTTCAAATTCAAATATTTCAAGAAAAATTTATATTGATTTTATTTTAAAAATTTATAAAATAATTTCTATTATCTTAATAGTGTAATAGTTTTTCCCAAATCATTTTTTAAGACAAGCAGAAAATGCAGCATAAATACATCCAGCTTATATTTTGAAGCTCATTAGTATCTGAATTATTATTGTGCCCTTCTAAATTACTATTATTTTTAACATTTGTATTATATTAAATTTTCAGTTTTTACCATTAGATATCAGCACTGATATTTTTTTACCTTTTCAAGATGCAGTATAGCTAAATAATTTAACTCAAAATTATAAATGTCATTGCCAGAATATTGCTCAATATATATAAAGTATATACATGCATTTTGATTTAATTAGAGAAAGTGCATAACTTATTCTGATATTTTCATTATACCTGAAAAAAACGTGGAGTTCCTATATATACAAATGCTATGAACCATTATGTTATTTCACCGCAATTTTTACTTGCCTAATGTATTTTTAAAAAACGTAAAATGTGTGCAATGTGTATTTCCTATGAAAATAATAACATTTGTAAAATCAAACGTCCCTACAGTTGTTATTGAAGTTTTGTTCATGTTCTCATTACAATTCAAAATTTTGTAGTTGTACTTAATTATATTAGATAATATTAGAAAGATCGATGCTCCCCTGCTTAAAATTTTTATTTAAAACCTAAAATATTAAAATTATGTGGGATAGATTTATTGCACTGTGATATTAAACGCATGTTTGTATATTTTAAAATTTTTATTGACAATTTTCAATTTAAATATTATTGATTTTCTTGATAACTGATCGTTGAATTCATATTAATGTTTGGAAAAAAGATTTTGGTACTGACTGAAAGTCAATAATTTTGACTTGATTAATAATGCATGTGCTCAATTACTGTTGCTCAATTTTGGAAATGTTTTAAGGAAAATGTTTATTTAAAAGTAGAAATTTGCAAATCCCATTGTCCGTCTTGTAACTAGTTTTTAATTAAAAATTTTATTGTATTTTTTAGAAAGAAGTATATTAGTTTTTTAACTAATTCCTATACTACAGTGATTTACATCTTTGATATTTTTTCTAATAAATTTTTTTGGTATAACCCAATATCTTAAAAAAATGTTTTTTATGCATTCTGTATTAACGTAAGTATTCCTATTTGAACTTATTTGAGATATATTCATGATAAGTCAATATATATTTTAGATTAATGCATTTTCAAAAGCACTTTCTTTCTCATATTACATTCTCAATACGAAAATAGAACATTTATGAAAATAAAAAAAATCTTTAATGATCGTTTATAAAATATTACATATGAAAATTTTCTATTATCTCCTTTAATACTTGCGCATTTATTATAACTAAATTTTAAATAACAATATATTTTCTTATCTTTTTACTCATTATCAAATAATGAAAAAAAAAACAATTTTTAATGGCATAAATTTTTTTCTTAACGAACCACATTTTTAAAATAAATGGAAAGTATACAGTTATGGTAAAAGTTACATGTGCCAAAAAAAAGCAAAATTTTTAATATTAAGTATATCACTGATAACATTTCCTATTAGAACAAAAATAAAATGTATGTATTTTGCAGTTGTCTCTAAACTGGTGATTGTAAAACAAAATTTTGTGTTTAGCGGGAAAAAAATCATCAGCTTCTTAGCTAATTAGTCATTACAAAGGCTGTGTCAATCCAATAGAAAGACTGTGTTATAGAAAGATTATGTCAGCCTAATTTGAGCTGATTGGCATCTTTCAAGAAGTCTAGGAGGTTCAAAAAAGAAAAAAGGAGCCTCTGCTTCACATGATTTTATAACCGTCATTGAACAGCTGACCTAGTTTTGGGTTTACAACTACTGTTGTTCGACTCCGTAGCCTTGTAATTTTGAACCCTATCCTGAAGACAAAGAAATTCCTGGATCAGAATGAGGAGACATTTGCCTTTATGGAGAACTTTTTTGAAGGAACTAACCTACATTTGCGTTATATAGAGAGGAAAACCTTCTGCAGTTAGCCTGGCAGCGAGGGGATTCTTAGCCATGATCTGTCTACAACTGAGGATATTTTACCTTAGAACTATGCTGTAATCGGTGCGAGCCAGGTGCGGAATTCGTAGCAAACAGCCATCGCTGGATTTCGAACTCCGTTCACCTAATTGAAAATCTTTTTTTATAATTTATCGAATTAAAATTTTAGTTTTTAATTAAATTGCATGCAAGTGATTCTTCTGCCAATTTGATTGTTTTGATTTAGCGGATTTTCGCCATGTTGAATATTCGAGACTGTGGCAGAATCGGCCACTTTTTGCTCTGAAAATTCACCATTTTTATTTGTAATATTTTGTGAAAAACTACTAATTTATGAGGCTATGTGCTGTAATTCTCTTCTGTCAATCGCAAATGTAGTGGGAGGGGAAAGTCCCTCCAAGTACCACTTCAACTTCGTTACAAGCATTAAGAATCTCGCCTTTACCTCTAACTTCGTTATGAACTTTAAGAATCTCACCTATCGCCCCTCTTCCTACTTCTCAGTAGAATTTCTGCCTCTCGGCTGCTGTGGGGAGTTTAATAATATAGATGGATGCCGTGCACTAACGTACCTGTGAAAATTCTTAAATTTTGCAAGTACTTTTTTTTAAATTAAAAACAATAATTTTCAATTTTCTTATAATTTTCTTAAAGGCATTTTTATTTAGTCATTTTTTTATTATTTAAGAATGATCTAAATTTGTGTGACGAAGAAAAGAATATCATATTATGATTTTGCATGTACTTTTGTGTACAGATATTTTTTTTATCTTACTCTACATGTAACATATTTAACCTAATAAATAAATATGACAAAATTTACAGAAAATTGTCAACTATTTTCCTGTTTTACCAGCAACATGTATGTCAAATTGATTTATAAAACAGTAGATAAAACACAGTATAAAGGAATCGTATTAATTGACCTAGTTACATCATGTTTTTAGTATCTATTGGAATACATGTCACAACATGTTATTCGTCATCGAGAAATCAATCATATTTTGTAATCAAGTTAAAACTTATAAATCTTTATTAAATTGTAATCAAGTGTGAATTGTTTTTAATGAAATTACTCATATCAATTTCATGAGTATTTTCAATCCATGCTTCCTCTATGTATATTCAATTTGTATTATCACAGTCTATTGGACAAATATACTTTGTAAACTAAAATTTAAGGAAAAAATGCATCTGAATATTTGTTATTTTATGCTAATAAAATTTTACGGATCACATAGTATGTTGAAATTTTTTTCTTAATTTGTTCCACCATTGTTTCAAATATACAGTATTCTTTAAAAGGAAGAACTCAAACAACTTTATCTTGCCTTTATTTTAAAGCATGCTTGTTTTCATGCGTACAAATTCCTTAATGCTTTAATATGATTAAATTCAGCATTATGTCTTACACAAATTTTCAATTAGTGCCAGTGGCCGGTCTAATAACTTTGCAGCCACTTCTTCCTAAAACCTAATGAGCCTGTAACCGATTCAGGGTGTTTAGCGATTTTTAAAGGTGCTTATTTTCCTTTTTTAAAAGCCCTTAAAGGTGCTTTTTTCTTTAAGTGTTTTTGAAAATTTTAATTTTTCCTTTACCAAAATTAGCTATATTTTCTTTACCATGTCGATTTTCGCCAGGAACATACAAGCGTATTTGCAGCCTTCTTCTCTAAACCGCCAACCAAATACTGGCTCAGATCAGGAATTCAATCAACTCTTCACCTTAAAGGGACTTCACAATGCCCTCTCATCTTCCAAACCTAAATCACCAGGGCCAGATAAAATTCTCCTAAAAGTATTGTACTCTCTCTTGGAAGCAGCTCTGCGAAACTTCTGAGTGAGTTGAACTCTATCTGGGCTTCTGTCGTGGGCCAGTTCCCAGAGTCCTGGAAACTGACCCACGACATTCCGATCCACAGAAAAAGAAAACCTTTGGATCTAGTGTCTTACAGATATCTAGATGTCTTTGTCTGGTGTCTGACTGATAAGAATTCTTATAGACCTATATCGCTAACATTCACTGTGAACAAAACTCTCGGGCACAAGCTTCAAAAACGCCTCAGTGAGTTTTCTAGCCTTTTCATTGCGGATTCCTCCCCTTTAAAGGGGAAAATTTAGTTCTCACTATCAGAGGTGTATCTAGAGAAAATGGCGCCTACGGCAATCCTCCCGATCGACGCCCCTTCTTAAAATATTATATATATATATATATATATATAAGCGCGTTTGATTTGTAAGTTACCAAGGATTGGCTCGAAAATGGATGTACGCGAGTTGATATTATTCTGGATAAGTTAATAATTAATAGGTTGACATTTAATTATACAATTTTAATGATTTTAGAAAAATAACATTTATTTAAGAAGAAAAAAAGAGAGAAAGAAGCATGAATTGCCGTTTGGCGCATATTTTTAGCCACGGATTTGCCCGAAATAGATTTGCACGTGGTAAAAATTATATAAATTAACCAAGAAGTTTTTAATTAACTTATTTATAATAACATACAATTAACTCAATGATTTCACATAGAATTTTATCAATTTAGTTGGGTATCAATTGTTTTTTTTCTTTCAAGTTTTGAAGAGTTTGTCAATTTTTTTGGAGAAAAAAACCATTACTTTATGTTTTTTTATTTCTATTCATTTGATTAAACATCGTATTTAAATAGATATTTTAGAAACATTAAAATTCTAAGTAATTAGTTTATTTACATTAAAATCATTTCTTTTATCGTTTAAATCAACAAAGCAAATATTTTCTTCTTTTATAATACCCAAATCTAAAAAATTTTAATTAATGTTATCATCATGATTACAAAGCAAGATTAATTCTTTGCGGTAAATATTATTTAATAAAATTGTATAACTTTGAAAATTAAAGATAATTAAATCACCAATAAATCTAAAAACATATTTAATAATAAGTGCATGATTTTTTTCTTCATAATAGTGCAAAAATAAATTAGCTAAGAGAGATGAAAGATTAGATCCTTGTGGTATTCCATCAATTTGAAAAAATATTCTTTTCCATTGTTAAGGTAGTTATTAAAAATACTATGAAAATCGCAATTAAGGATATTTTTAAAATCAT